AAACATACTTGAACTTTAGCTGCAAATGGGAGACAAAAGTCATTCAATTTCTCTCACGGAAATCAAAATCCATGATGCCGGAAAATTTGCCCAAAATCTGGGTGAAGTGAGATGGAATGTCTCCTGTGATGGCAATGTGAGCCTGTGGATACGAAGACATCCTTACATGCCAGATAATCTGCTGGCCATAGACCAGGCTGCGGGAGTTGGACAACTCTCGCAATGAATACGATCCCCGCCGCGAAGAATCGTTTTTACAACCAAGTACTCATTTTACTGTTTAATTAAACAGAGGCTACAGTTAAGGATTTGCGCCCAGTAAATCCTCCCCGGCCAGGATACCCCGGCCAGGAAGTGGATTCACCACTAAGAACTAGTTACACCATCCACAGAGTGGATGCTCCTTCACTAATTACACCATCCGCACGGGTGAGCAACAACTGGAATGCAGTGAAAAAGGAGGTTATAGAAGCCGCCTCTATCCATAACGTTATAACCAAGTTACAAAAAGCAAAATCAAGTCACGTCCGGCAAAACGTCTCGCTACGAGTCATATCTCACTGTGCGGACCGAGCAGGTCCAAGCACTTCCCAGAAATACACACGCAAACCTTTGTGGTATTGACTTATAGAGAAGGGGCGGAGCTCAATTCAGTGTATAGCTTACTAATGCAGGCAGCTCCCCCACCCCACCACCTGCCCCTTCAGTCCGCTCTATCCACAAGCTTATCCTCCAGGCTGCTATCCCTCCAGGCCCCTCCTCCAGCTTGCTACTCCACCGGGCCCACCAGTTTCCGCGTCGTTTAAGATACATTGTATTTATTTAGCGCTGGTATATATTTATGCGAGGAACACAAATTTAATTTCATGCAAAAATACTTGGGCAAGTTCTGTGATATTGTATTAATTATGGTGATATTGAGGCTCCTGCCTGGCACTCTTCTTGGCCACCGCCGCATGAAGCACCGCCGCATGAAGCACCACCACGTGAAGCACCACCACATGAAGCACCACCGCATGAAGCACCGCCGCATGAAGCACCGCCGCATGAAGCACCACCACGTGAAGCACCACCGCATGAAGCACCGCCGCATGAAGCACCGCCGCATGAAGCACCGCCGCATGAGGCACCACCGCGTGAAGCACCACCGCATGAAGTACCCCGAGAGACGTACTGGGTGGAGTTAAGTAGCCTGTTGAAGTTTCATCCGAGCACTCTGTTGAAGTTTGAGATTCTATGGGTTCACCCCTGATCCATTTTATCATGTTATATTTTATTACTCAAATTTATTTTTTTTTGGCAACAGAGTTGAGAAAGCCACGTGCTTATGTTTTGATGGACACTGGTGACATCTTGTGAGTATCCTAGTAACCATAATTTGCCTCTAAACAAATTTTTCCTCTTAAAATTTGTATTCCTCGGGGCAAGAAAATCGCCCTGATATATTCGTCAGCAAATATTTGTAATATCGTTAATTTTTGCATGTAATTGCAAAAGCAAATACACATTTAAAGTCGTTTCACCAGCAAGAAAATAAAGCCTAATAAGAGACAAGCTCGACCAATGAGAACAGTCCTCGTGGTGGTTGTTGGCGACGACTGAATAAAGCACTTGTCTGTTATACTAGGCTGTATCTCCACCCGAGCTGGAGATACAACAGGAGTCTCCATACCAGAAAGAGAACAAAACCAAACGGCAAAGTTATAGTCATGGCTTTAACGTCCCGTTATATAGTAGTTCTCAAGCTAAATATTTACTGGCGGAGGACAAACCGGGTAAAATCGTACACAAGACTATTCGACAAAAATTGGTTTCCGTTTGTTGAAACAATATATTGTTAAATTAGTATATTTACAGCTTACAGTAGGCTGTATTAGGCTCTGTTTGGTTTGGGTTATGTTGTTGTTGTTATAGATTCAGCTACTCTGAACAAGTTCCAAGTAGCACGGGCTATGGTGAGCCCGTAACTTACCTGGCACAGGAGCTCGGTTTGGGTTAGGTTAGGTTAAATAAAGTTAAGGGTTTAAAATTCACTGCAGGGTTCCTCGTCCAGGCCGGTACCCTAAAGAAAAGTGGTTCTGTGAGATATGAAGAATAATGATTACTCTAGTGACCTAGACCCGTCACTGACCACACAATCACCAGTAGTTACATTATTACTTATTTTCGGTAAAGTAGGAAAGCTTAGGTTATATTTGGTTTAAACAGAGTAGTGATGAAGTAAAGAGGTAAATACCTTTCTCAGGCTTCGACCCAAATAGGCCGGCGTGTACTTCATCCGAAATCGACCACATTTCTTTGTACCACATTACTAGCTCTTGACACGCACTATGTAACCCTTCATGTAGTCTAGGGCAGCTGTATAAATGACCAGCAGACCAGGTACCGTTGTTCCACAGAGTACTACGGTACTCTTGACACACTCTGCAACGTTTTGTTGACATTGTCCTTGTGGTCAACAGCTGTTTTTTGTTTACACTGCGAGCATCTGTATCTGCTAGACATGTACGGATATACCAGGGTTTGAAGATTAAAATTCTCTCTTTCTCCCACCCACTTTGAAAATACATCACGGAATCCCGAAAATAGATTTTGTAAATCCATCCATGCCGTCTGATTTTTATCCCATCTCACGGAAGCCCTACACGAATGCGCATGGAACTTTCTAAGGTTCAATGCTTCTAAATCTATATTTAAATTATTCAGTATATAATTATAATGATTAAGTGTTATACTATTATTATAACTTTCTTTTATGCAAATAATGTACTGAAATTGTGTGGAAATAAACGCAATAACAAATGTACAGCCATTTATTGCTACAGTTTTTATTTATGACTAAATTTATATAACAGTTCTAGTACCACTACTGTTATTATAGCCACTATATACTTTGTTTTACTAATATATATCACCATTTAAATTAATTTACATATATCTATGTTTACAATTTATAATATTTGTATATATTTTTACATCTGTGTATTTAATCAGTCTGTATTAAGTTTAGCAAGAATTGCAACGATTTACACTTAGTTATCAATAAACCTTTTTGATTCAGCAACGTCTTGCCACAGATAATTCTACAGTGTAAGAGGCTACAGTTACAACTTCAGCATGGTTTGTGACTTTCATTCTTGAAGAGATTTGGTCGTGAATTTATTAATTTATTCGGCAAAGTACAAAGACTGTAGCTCAATTAATCGATAAAATATATAACAGTCAACAATACCATAATCATGCCATTGGTTGCAATAGCTATATGAATTTTATTTCGCTTTAGTGAATATATCTTGGAGAACTGTCATATATTTCGCTTATATCCGCTTACTCTTATTTTATTTATAGTCTCCTACCGTGGATAGTCTTACCTATATGTTCCTGTGGGGAAGTAAGGCTTAGTTCTTGGTCCCGCCTCTTTACTCCTAGAAATTTGTTGAAAATATCCATCTCGAAATTATATGATTTAATTATCAATTAATATTATAATATGAATTTGTAGGCCTGGGTTAGCTTGAGGTAGGTGTAATTGTAATCACTCAACGGTGTTTAATCGTTGAGGTAAGTCCACTATTGGCTCACCATAGCCAGTGTTACTTGCAACTTTTTGTTCAGAGTAGCTGAATCTAAAACAACAACAAACGGTGTTTAACCTGACACAGATGCCTCTCAGAGTGCCACGCCCATACATACAACAATGTATTGTTGTGTGATATCACAATGTTGTTGAGGACAGGAAGCCTGTTAGACTTACTGTGCTCCTCCCTTGGCCAACTGATCTTCAGGATGCAACCCACAACAGTTGCCTAACTCCGACGTACTTATTTTTACTGTTAAGTGAACAGATCGATGCATCAGGTATAAAGAAAAGTGGCCAATAGCCTTTGTGCTCCCGCGAAGCCTCGTCCTATTAACTCGCGCGCCCACGCGCACACACGAGGTTATAGATTCAAGCTAAGGAAACAATGGCGCTGAAAAGTCTTTTGAAAGTTCTTGCAAACAAAGTGGTAGACGGTTGGAACTGGTGAGAAGGTGGTGGAGGCCAAAATCGTCAGTAGTTTCAAAGCGTTATATGACAAAGAGTACTGGGAAGGCAGGACACCACGAGCGTAGCTCTCATCCTGTAACTACACTTAGGTAATTACACACACAACTATATCACACTTAATATTTCCAAACTAAAACAAAGTGTTTCCTCTTCTGTAACCTAACTATGCGAGTATGGTTCATGATAGAATTCAGTATTATTTCATAGAAAAATCCTACTGTAAAACTCGGCACGAGTTAATTAGTGTATAATTGTCTGTTCGCAGGAATATTTTAGGTATTTTTTCTGTAAATAATGTCGTTGGAATCTTCTCTACTCGTGTATTTCAAGTGTGACATACCTTAGAAACCATAAAGCATGATATTTGTATTTACTAGAAAAAAAAAATAGAGATTTGTTTTTTCTACCAGAGACGTGGCCACACATTTATAATGCTAACCAACATATATCCATTTTCGTCTGTCTTCCATGGAGAGGGTTAGAGATCTGTTAAACGTATGTTGATCAACTACAGGTGTTTGTAGTGCTTTTAAAATGCTAACCTAACCTACGTACATAAATACACAGATTTACGTCTGTCCGACATGAACAGTGTTCGAGGTATCTTTTTACAGCGTCATTAATGTGCGTTTACAAATGTTTCGAGATACCATATTCACAACCTTAACCCATGTCTAAGTTAACATTCCCCTAATACATTATCCAACATGAACCCTTGCCTCACTAACTCTCAAAGGCATATCACAAACCACTTTTTTACTATATTCGAATATTTTTCATTTCACTTTTCGACGTCGAATATCGAAAATATATTTCGCAAACTTCGAAAACAGAACCTACAGCAATACATCTATAGTAAGCGTTGCCTCTCAGAGCATAGTTCATGACTATTATACTTATTAAACAAAACATTTCTTGATCAGGTAAAGAGTAGAATTGGGAAGCAACATACCTTCACTGTGACGCGGATGGCTGCAAACGTGCAGTCTGCCTGTTGCTCCCAGTCAATATTTGTGTCAATCATCGCTCTCATTGCCCTTATACTCCCAAACCCGTGATTATATTCACAAATAACTTTAGTTTAAACTCCACAGTATAGACTGTACCTAACTGTAAGAGAGGCCAGAGCGTAGGTAAAAGTGGTAAGTGTGTCTTGAGCTGCCTGCCAGCGACTGACTGACCGCAGACACACTCACCATGGCCGACCTTCCCAAGGTATTGATGGCCCGAGGCTATAGAACACATACGCATTACCTCTTCCGCTTCGATAATGGCTTTTCACCACCACTGTAACTATATCAGTTCCTGAGCCGATTATGTGCCTCTGTAATCCTTTACATCACCGCCCACGGGATGGGTATGGGGTGCATAATAAAGAAAGAAAGAATTAATTGTAATTATATCATGCTATACGCGATACTATAAGTCTGTGTATTTTTTAGGAATGTGATAAGCTTCTGAATGAGGCTAATAATGAAAATATCATATATAACAAATTAAAAACACTAAATGCAAAGGAAAACTAATGTAATAATATTAACATATTACACCAGAAAGAGCTCCAGTGAGTGATAATATCGAATGTTTTAATGGATATCTTACGTGATACACACACATACAACAATTATCAAATTAGAAACTGTCATTTCAATCTAATATCGAATGTTTTAATGGATATCTTACGTGATACAGACATATATACAACAATTATCAAATTAGAAACTGTCGTTTCCATCTAACACTTGTTTCTTGTTATTAGGAAGGGGGGGAGAGAAGGGAACTATCAGGGGGAAAGCCCCAAGCCATTACGACTATATAGCACTTGGAAGGGATCAGGATAAGGATTTAGGATGGGACGGGGTGAAGGATAAGGATATAATATTTGTTTTTTGTTTTTACCTAATTTTAAGACGAGTTCTATAATAATTGCATTATATATATATATGCATTCCCAACAATAAGATATAATCGTAACATTAACAGTGCATGTTAATCATGTATTTTTATTTTAAGCATCTCTATCATTCAAATTATAGTATCGACCAGTTATTGATCCGATACACTTACGACACAATGTACTAATAGAGTGATAAGCCTTCTTTCTCCCGTAGTTTGATAAGATCCTTGTACTCAGCATACTGAATGATCTTCTCCCAGACCCAGGGCCCGTAGTTGACCCGCTGGCCGGGGTCCTCCGTCAGACCGGTGGACCCGCCAGGTAATACAATGTTTATATTCCCGTCGTATTTCGGCTCCAAGAAGAACGGCACAGAGAACCTGTCGAAGAAGAGATGATCTGGTGAGAATTCCAGGCGAGAAGAAGGATGGTGGTTAGGATTTTGTGTCCACCATTTAAGTTGCATCAAATTATCTGTATTTATCATTTGCCGTATTTCATCTTCTTTGTTAGTAGGTCCATCAGCATTGGTATATCAGATCGTGACATTCGTTAGATACTGTGTTTGGTAATTCTTAACTGCATGCATGTCTTCTTAATGTTATTAGTGGAAAATATCACAGGGGAAGTAAACAACGGATTTGGTAGAGAGTTTGTGAGGTTATAATGCCTGTGGGTTGGGGAGATGTTGCAAGATAGACCGAAGATGTGATATTATAAAGAAGGTAATAATTTGAATATTATGCAACGGCTGTTCAACATCCTCCCAGTAAGTATAAGAAATATTGTGGAAAATTGGAAATCCTAAACAAAAAATAGATAGTTCTCTACAAGTGCCGGACCAACTGGGCAATAGTAGATATGTGGGCCTGCGGGCCGCTCCAAGCAACAGCCTGTTGGACCAAGCTCTCACATATCAAGTCTGGCCGTGGGCCGACCTTGCGGAGTAGAACTCTCAGAACCATTTTCAAGCACAATCCAGATCCAGGTAGGAAGGAATTAACATTACGAAATATTTAGGAGATATGTGTGTGTGTGTGTGTAAAGTATGCGTGTCCACGTGCGTATGTCTGCTTGTGTATGTGAGTGCATGCGTGTGGTTCCCTATGACAGCCATCATGGCGGTCAAAAAACAATTAACCTCACCGATCACCACAAGAGTCGATAACGCGGTGCTTTGTGGCCTTGAGCATGCCACCGCTGATGGTGGCCAAGAGGTCACCAATGTTGACCACAAGGTGACCCGGGCGGTGAGGCACATCCAAGAGAGAGTTGTCCGTCCAGCGCACCTGCAGCCCTGGGTACTGCTCGAACGTTGACAACAGCGTCACCATCCCTGAGTCTTGATGTTCAGCTGTCTGGATCACTGCCGACGGAGGTGAAGGTGAGTTGTTGTTATAGATTCAGCTACTCGGAACAAGTTCCAAGTAGCACGGGCTATGGTGAGCCCGTAGTGGACTTACCTGGCACAGGAGCGGTACTGTCTGAAGGTGAGGAACATGGTTCATCTTATACTTTCTCAGTGTTAGGGGCAGGAAACCTGTTGGGCATATCGAGATCCCTTACTGACCATCCCCAGGATGGTGACCACAATAGTTGCCTAACTCCCAGGTACCTATTTGCTGCTAGGTGAATAGAAGCACCGGGAGAAGGGGGGAAAGTGCTTAACCAAGCTCTGTCCCAACCTGGGATCAAACCCGTGATCGTCGGTTGTGAGTCGAAGACGTAGACCACTACAGTACGGGACCCCATACGATGTACCCTTTCTAATTATATATAAGAATTTGTTGTGTACTTAGGTTTAGATTAGATTAGACTTTGGTAATATGTTTTGTAATTTCAAATTCACGTTTTGCAAATATAGAATAATTCCCTTTTCCAGCAGATATTCAGGTTTAAGTACCTTTATTGAGAACATTTAATACATCTCAAAAGAATAAAGTAGTTTCTAGTGTATCCTTTTACTCAAAAGGATAGAGTATCCTAGTAGTAGATAGGATAGAGTAGAATAGGCTATTTCTACCCTCGTGCCAGCAGACATTAGTTGGGAGGGAAGTGCATGTGGGTACTGACCGTAGTCACCGTCGCGGGCACTGTCTGGTGGGTGAGGCCTGGCTGGGTAGTGGATGAGGCGGAGGGTGGAGAGGTGGTGGGGGTCGAATAGTGGCGTGAAGAACTCCCTCGGGGCCCCGAAGCCTTCAGCGATGAGTCTCATCAACTCCAGCGCGGCCTCCGTCATCTTCTGGTAGTGGTTCTCCATCCACGTCTGGATCACCGGGAAAAAGACTTGGGTTTACACAAAATAATTAGTCTATCTGTTGTTGGTTTGCTTATTTCACATGAGGCTACACCAACAGCGATATAAACTCCTGTTATAAAAATAGAATGTAAACAATAGAGAATCAATATCATAATGTGAACAAAATATAAGTAACATAAGTACTACACAGCATATTTAATTCTAACAAGGACATCAATAATGATAAAACAGACCTTCTGGGTATGGTCGAATTGTACACGAGGCTGTTTGCAAATCTCGTTTTCTGATTGTTAAAACTGTAAATAATTCGTTTTGTCGGGGGACAGGAAGCCTTTATATACATATATACTCGTAGGGATTGTGGACTTGCATCAAAGTCCCCAACTAGGTGGAACTAATATAATGCCTTGCATCATTATTCAATTTTAATGTTCTGTAATTACTTTGATATTATCTCTTGAAACAAAGACAATAGATTTATAATTATTACCGTCAATACCAGCGGATAGCACGCGTGTTTTCGGTCCACAACCAACATAATATATATATTGCACTATCATACTATCATGCAAGAAGTTGCATGTTTACCCAGCAAGGCCACTTGAGAATCACTTTCAATAAATGCATGACGAAACATACTGCAAAATCAACAAAATATTATCATAAATTACACTCCAGAAAATGCGACAATTGTCATATCCTATTTGTTATTGTTTCAGTATTGAAGGATTCTGACCTTAAAGTAGGCAGCAGTTTCTGCGTCTCCAGAGGGGCTGGAGGGCCACTGGTTCTTCTCGTAGAAGATTTTGGCCACCAGGTTCTCCGGGTAGGGCGGCTGAGTGTCCATTGTCAGACCTATTTCGAACCCTGTCGGGGATAAGTACTAGGTTACATAGTGACTTGTGATATGCTTCCATTTCTACACTATTCCCTCCACCTACATGCTTACCCTTTGATGTTGTTGTGTCATTATCTTCTTTTCGTGTTGTTTCGTGACCTTTGGATACAGTGGGGCTCCCACACCTCACAACCCCGACATTCACCGCCACACACAAAACGACACCTACTCCATTCTGACACCCCCACTACACCTACCACACCCCCACATTCACCACGACCCACACATCCCCTCACACCCTCACTCACCTTCCTTATGAGAGACCTCGTTCGGGATGACAGGGAAGTAGCCTCGGTACTGTTGCTTACACTCGGAGTCGAAGCTCTTCCTCGAAATCTTCATCCTCTCCTTCAGGGGCAAGCTGAAGGGCCAGGCGAGGTCAATAGGGGTCCAGTATAAGGCCAAGCAATATGTATACTAACCATGGATGCCCAGTTTAGGTTCAACCAACATATATACCTCCCATGTATGCCCAGTATAGGATCAAGTATTATATATTCCAATCATGGACGCCTAGTGTAGGCTCAAGTAACATGTAAATACCTTCCATGCATGCCTAGTACTGGTTCAGGTGTATGTATAGTATAGGGTTAATCAACAGGTATTATCGATTTGGACGGGTCGGTACAGGAACAACTTCGCTTCATGCAGGTCGGCGTTCGATCCCCGATGGTCCAAGTGGTTGCATGGACACCGTTCCTTCACTCATAGTCATATCCCAAATCCTATCCTGTCCTCATATCCCAAATCCTATCCTGTCCTCATATCCCTTCCAAGCGCAGTACAGTTCTTCAGAACCCACCTGAAGAACCAGCGGGTGAGTCGAAGGAGTTCTTTCTCGTCATAGCCGTCCACACCCACCAAGTAGATAAAGCCGACGGTAGTGAGCGCTTCCCGTAACTGTCGAACCAGCTCCCCCCGCCTCGAACCCTGTCCTAGACGCAGGTCGATCACAGGCAGTTCCATCTTCGACATCTTTCCTATAGAGGAAAGTATCGTAGCTATAGAGAAAATTATCGTACCTATAGATTGATTGATAAAAGGTTAAGCCACCCAAGAAGTGGCACGGGCATGAATAGCCCGGAAATACCTATAGAGGAAAGAATCTTACCTACAGATGAAAGTATATCTTATAAATTAGTTTATTGTTTTATACGACCAGACGTAACGCACTTTAAAAGACGTAAATAGATGTACCTTTAACCTCTTTCCATGCAGGTTAGGTTGAAATTGAAATAGAAATACGTATATTGAGGTAAAATACTCACAAAGGGATGAGGTAGCTCAAGCTCTTCTCACCCCGTTCAGTACAACGAGTTCATATAGACACATCACAAACAATAAACATATTGCCGAACATTCTGAGTGATAAACATATACATTTCTTTCTTTACACATGTATTATGTTACCAGATGTACACACAAATACTTTTATGAGTAAGTATATAGACAATTTGCAATAGACATTCAGACAATTAAACAAAAGGTTACAATCTTGGTGCAAAATTCTAATATCTCTACAGAATATAGGTTATGTTGTGTTAGTGTGAACACTTGGTAGTGATTGCTGAATGACGTATTCATATTAACAAACACACACACACACACTGGAAGACAGAAGAGTAAGAGGAGACGTGATAACCACCTGGAAAATTCTCAGGGGAATTCACAGGGTGGACAAAGACAAACTATTTAGCACGGGTGGAACACGAACAAGGGGGACACAGATGGAAACTTAGTACCCAAATGTAAGGTAAGCTTAAGAGCTACAGAGACATTAGAAAGATTTGCCCATGTCAATTTTTCTTGACTTCACTAACACTACAACTAGCCAGTGACAGAGACAGATACAGAGCCAGAAAGACACAGGAGACTAATGACACAACAGTACTCACACACAGACAGCAAGACACAGGAGACTAATGACACAACTCACCACACAGACAGCAAGACACAGGAGACTAATGACACAACAGTACTCACACACAGACAGCAAGACACAGGAGACTAATGACACAACAGTACTCACACACAGACAGCAAGACACGGGAGACTAATGACACAACAGTACTCACACACAGACAGCAAGACACAGGAGACTAATGACACAACAGTACTCACACACAGACAGCAAGACACAGGAGACTAATGACACAACAGTACTCACACACAGACAGCAAGACACAGGAGACTAACGACACAACTCACCACACAGACAGCAAGACACAGGAGACTAATGACACAACAGTACTCACACACAGACAGCAAGACACGGGAGACTAATGACACAACAGTACTCACACACAGACAGCAAGACACAGGAGACTAATGACACAGTACTCACACACAGACAGCAAGACACAGGAGACTACTACACACACAGACAGCAAGACACAGGAGACTAATGACACAACAGTACTCACACACAGACAGCAAGACACAGGAGACTAATGACACAACAGTACTCACACACAGACAGCAAGACACAGGAGACTAATGACACAACAGTACTCACACACAGACAGCAAGACACAGGAGACTAATGACACAACAGTACTCACACACAGACAGCAAGACACAGGAGACTAATGACACAACAGTACTCACACACAGACAGCAAGACACAGGAGACTAATGACACAACAGTACTCACACACAGACAGCAAGACACAGGAGACTAATGACACAACAGTACTCACACACAGACAGCAAGACACAGGAGACTAACGACACAACTCACCACACAGAGCCAGTAGGAGCGTTGCATCAACACTATGTTACACCTAGCTATATCAGTGAGATAACACCCATCAAGAGCATCAGACAGCCGTAACCTTGTGCTGTAACACAAGGTCACTGCTGCTCCCGACACACTTAAACCCTTAATTCAACAAAACAAGAACAGGTATCATATCCTTGTTGTGTTCTCATTAACAAATAAAAAAAAACAACCGTTGACCAATTTAATAATTATACAAAAATTGCGCCGACAGATCGTTTTGACAAACTGGGTTAAGGCCAAATACTGGTACACTAAAAATCCTAGCGGCTCGCAAAATTGAGGTGAGGTCCCGTTGTCTATTTGTAGGTCCTCGGTTAGCTTAGGTTCGGGTAATTTAGTTCATCAATTTAGTGACGTTGTGAACGCTCGAGAGGACGGACTGTTATATAACCGGTGCTTACAGCACAAACAAACTTTCCTCCTTTATCGTAATCTTATCTGCCTCTGGTTACCTATATACAAGAGATATTCTTCAATGCTATATACGATAATGAAATAAGAGCCAAAACAATTATAACAATGAAAATAGATTAAATCAAACAAAGGGTTAAATGAAAAAAACACGAATATTATTTCTCTGATATTGGAATCAAAGAACTCATAAAAAAAAGTATTCCTCGCTGATGATGGAGGAATACTATCAACCACTTGTACTGTTACTAAATTCAACAGTTTCTTCTCATCATTTGGCACATCTATTGCAAATGAGATCCTAGCAACTCTCTACCTGTTGTGCTCTATATCTGTTAAACTCGGAAATGCAATACTAGTCCTGACCAAAAACCTTTCCTGGAGAGCCGGAGGTAGTATAATTTATGGCTATTTGGCACTACTGCCTTAAGTGACATGTGAATCTCCTGCCACCTGATGACACCACTTACCTGGTCCAGGAGTCCATTTTTTGAAGATCCGAGGACCCGGTCAAACTAACACGTCTTTTAAACTTTTTCATGGGACATGGAGGGAATCGCTCACGGCATTCTCCTTTTGTCAACAGCCATCACCTAGTACAGCATATACACAGCATACGCAGAATCAAGCCAATAGCTCGATTCTGCAAGCACAAATAGTAAATACAGCCAAAGGTTTTTCAGGAATGTACCATTTCATCACCAAAATCCGTACTTCCACAATCCATTGTAGTTTTAATAATTAGTTGTCAAGAACAGGAATCCTGCCTGCCATCCCTTCCCCACCACCAATGCAGCTGCTCCCAATCTGACATGTAAGTCATAGCCCAGTCCACAAAGTATGCTTTGGAGGTGTTTATCAAGTTTTCTTTTGAACATCATGAGAGGTTGGCTGGTTATGCCCCTTATATGTAGAGGGAGTGTTGAAAAGTCTTGGTCCTTCAATGTTGACAATTCTCTCTCAGCATACCAATTGTACCTCTGCTTTTCCAGTGGGCCTACTTTACACTTCCTGCCATAACTCCTGGTCCCATGTAAAGTTATTTCCATGTGCAGATTTAGAATCAGTCCCTCTAATATTTTCTGTGTAAATCATTATTCTAACAGTACTACATCCTTCATTTAAATTAAATAAGTGAAGATCTGTTCAAAAACATGTTGCTCTACCTTTAAAGTACAGTACAGAAAAAAACCAGCAAATTGTGCCAGACAATATATGTTTATCAGTTATTGCTATGGCTTTCACTATTATGTAGACAATTTCACAAATATCTGTATAAACGTTTGTAAAATTTTCTGATCTAAAAACTTGTATGTTTTTAAATGTGTAAGTTAATTTGAAGGTTTATATCAAAGTATGGAAAAAATAGTAAACATTTATTCAAAGAAAATTGCTATTATACATATTTCCACATAAGCAGCAGATGATATAATGATATTTACATCTGAATATGTACATGAAGGGTGAACAAATAGTACACAGCACTATTGATAACCCACAAGATAACTAATTCATCTCTGCCTTTTCAGAAACAGTTTCCTCAAATTGCTCTCTGATAGGCTGTGCTCTAAACAAAAGGAAAATAATATATATTATTATTGGGTAATAAGAACAGATTTCTCCTTAACTATCCATGATACTCTTCAGGAACAAATGATGAATATTATATATATACTGTATATATAAAAAGGGGGAAGGTCAATTTTGAAAACAGTATTAAGAAAAAGTAATTTGGAATACCATTACAGTTAGAAATACCTAATCAAATGTCCACCTTAAATATAAATATAACAAGAATCTTGAATGATGGGCACCAGGAGAGGATGAGGAGGGGGGGGGGGTTACATGGCCTGTGAGAGGATCATCTTTCACCAGATGATAAATCTCATTGTACAAAGATAATTTGTTTTCAGCTTTTCATTTGCAATCACAGAAGTGTTCAAACATCTCACTATCTTCATACAACACATTACCCAAACAGCGTGGAATATGCTGCCGCTCAGCATTTGTCTCGATCATATTGCTATCTTTGAACAGCACATTACCCAAGTAAAGTGAAATATACTGCAACTTAGAATGTGTCTGGCACTGATACATTACAATATTTATTATTAAATGTTATAATAAATTCCTGTACATTAACAATGGTTTCATAGAAACCTGCCTAAGTTTCCTTGGCTTTAAAAACCAAACCACCGAGGAAATGTATGTGGCTTTCATTATACACATTAAATTAGGTTTGAATTATTTTATATATTTTAAGTATATTCAATGCAATTTGCCTTAAAATGATAATGGGGGGAAAAACAAATAAGATATCTGTTGCTTCTTTGATTCTTATAATACAGTATTGTAATTACAGTACAAGTCATTCTCGCACATCTTAAAAGACCCTAGTACTGTACTGCATGTACTGAACTTGTAAAATGTGTCAAAATATGTCAATTTGGATCAATTATGTGATGGAGTAAATTGGCAAGTTCAAGGTTAATAACCTTCAAAGCCAGCAAAATCAGTTTTTACCAATCAATGAATCAATGATAAATACTGTACTAAACTTTAGGAGATATTTAAAAAAATTAACAAGGGTATATACAAAAAAAAAAAAAAACTATTGACAGCATAATCTGAATTTGTCTTAACCCCTACACTGCTGCAATCGCTATCTATGATTTCCTGCTCTGTGCAAATCATGTGATTCATCCTTATGGAGTTTCAAGACTTTCTTGTTTTCAGGCAAACCACAAGGTAGAGCTTTTAAATAGGTGCAGTTTGAGGGTTAATGAAACCTGACAATCCTAAAATTGGTTTTACTGAACGTTATAGATGTTTATCAATGACGTGCACAGTACATCGTTTATGACTCCATAAGGTGTGATCAATGCAGTCTTCACAAAATTTCTCCCTTACTCTGGACCCTCTCCCCTTTCTTCACTCTTAAACACGTATGTAATACACAGTACTGTATATCTCTGGCATTTACATATACTTATTATTGCATTTATTAAATAAATTGAACGACCATTCATGAAATTCTCAGCTCTGCTCAAAATAAATAGTTATGAGTATGTTATTTTACTTGATAATGATAAACACTGTAACAGGGCTAAACACTAATTTGTTAATCTAGGTGTTCAATTTGGCATGTCCAAACAAATAATAAACTTGTCTGAATTACTAGAAAAAATGTGAACATTGCAAAATATGACCATGGAACATATGACACTATTTTAAGGAAGCATAAATACAATATTCCCTTGCAGATGGTAAGTCACATTAACGTGCTTAAAAATTACACTCCCAACCCACACATTTGAAAAGAAAGGACGTCACAACATTTTGGTGCATCCTAAACCATCAACAAGTCGTATTCCCTGGATCTGCACAAGGATGTTACTGGGAAAACCTTGTGCATGCAATATGGAAAAATTAAGAGATGAATTCCACTGGTTTTCCAAAGGAAGCTTTTTTACATTGCAACAAACCACATATGTATACTACACAATGCAAAAGTACTCTTGCCCCTTAACCACTAAATTATTCAACTGTAATAATCAGTACAATAATAATATTTTAAAATAACTAGGACAAAGTCTGTGCAGCTTTGCAAGTGAGGGGTGGACCAACTGCCACCTACATAACTTGTCTTGACTTTTGACACTTTACATGTAGAGGGATCCCTCCCTCTACAGGGAGGGATCCCTCTAGTATGTATATACTCCAAGGTGAAGACACAGCACTCAAGTGCATGCAGATGAGACTGCCCTCAATCGTGTACTTACAGGCAGCTTATTAATTTAATATTTACATTATAAACTTTGCACTTTATTTCCATTTTAATGCATTTTTGTTATATATTTATAGAAAAAGAACCTCTTATGATATTTGAATTTAAATTTTAGCATTACTGTATGTGCCTACCTTATGTTTTGTTAGTCATGAAAACTTAAATCTGCACAATTCATGGCTCCATTGTATATATAAACATCTTCAAGCAAGATGGCTTCTCACTGATGTTAATCTTTAGTTTAGTTAGTTTATTTTACCTTGCTGTCATCCATAATCCATTCCTATAATTTTCTGAGTTTTGAATTACAGTATTTTAAAAGTTTTAGCTCTAGGTTCAGCCCTTTTAATTTGCCATGGAAGGCAAGCATGTAAATCTTAAAAGAAAGCACTAAGACTGTATAGCTATATAGCAATGTCTATATCACAGAAGATTCAAGAGTTCCTATACATCATTCAAGATGCTTGCCATGGAAAGTACTCAAATCCCTCAAAGACACATGACCCACATTTTCTGATTCAAATTAGCCACCTAATAAGTCATAGACCTATTAATATAACAGGTTTGTTAGCAGCAAGTATCATTAAAGGTAACCACATCAAAATCTGGCTATTTAATATTTACCAATCAGCCCAACGTCACACAATCCAAACTTTCATTCAACTGTCTTATTAGTATATTTGCTCGACTAAGACACACTGACAATTGTAAAGGTTGAGCCTTGCACAACTCTATTATGAAACATTAAATATATATTTGAATGGTTAAAAATGTCTAAAGCCTGCCTTTTGTTTAATAAAGAGAAAATGCACATATGCACATGACCATCTTCAAACACCCAAGCAATTAATAATTTCTGTAATAATTATAATCGAGAGACAAAAGAACAGCATGAAATGTGTAACGAATCATTTGCACATTAGTACGACCATTATTTAATTACAATTAAAGTGTGATGGTTGCTTAAGTGTGTACAATTAAAGACCAGGGAAAGACCTCAAAGCTTATAAGAACAAAATATGCAATAAAAAGAATATTAATACAAATTAAAGGAGCTAATATTGTAGAGCATTAGACTCCCAACCCACAAAACTTAAAATACAAGAATTTACAATATTTCAGGTATCATGAACTATAATTAAAAGACTTTATAATGGTCCAGGACAGACTGAAACATTGTCAATTCTTTTATTTTCAGATGTGTAGGTTACATAAGTAATTTTAACCCACAATATTGTGGTGTACTGTCTTGTAAAGCATTACAGTACTTTACATATATACAACTATGGCCTAGATGAACCCAAAACTATAAAGAATCTTCAGATATATAAACAAAAATAAATTGTGCATCTTCCCTATCCATAATTTTTTATTTGATTAAGACATAAAGAGATATACCACAAAGCCTCCTATGGTCAATTAGGACAAACAGGGAATGAGGAGGGGAAAAATACATAAGACTATATAGCCTCAGAATGCAAAATAAACATTGAAATACACAATAAAAATTAATACAGAAAATTGTATTCAATAAATGGTAGTATGGCTGCTGATAACTAGGGTATGACACTAATAATGGGTTCATAATACTAATTTCCCTGTATAGAACTTAAAATCTGAATTACTCATTAGTGTTGAGGCACAAGTCAACAACTAAGCATCCTCAAGACAGTGAATTTAGAAAAATAAGAAACATAAATGTCTTCGTCATGAACTGTGGAACATAAATGATGCTCTATTGGAAATAATTTTGTTTCAGTTCTCTAATGAGAACATGTGGACTCAATTACCTTGTTGAGAAATGTCTGAGAATACGTTTAGGACCGATATAGTAAATGCTGGTTGGCCCTGTTTGCCCGTGGAGTACAAATAGGTACTAATTTGCCCATTAATATGTTATTGCTAAAGCTGCAGTATCATTGATCTTGCAATACTGTTCTCTCATGCTTTAGCTTACTTTATTTATCTTTTGTTTCATTTATCCCACTTTGCCTTTTACCTTTTCGGCATTTTAATTTGGCTCACATTATTTCCCATTAGCATATTTTAATTTTAGCTTACTTCAATTCCCTGTAGTTTACTGTACAGTATCTCCTTTTAGCTACTTTACCATCCTGTACCTTACTTCACATTGGCTAACTTTCTTCTAATTTACCACATTCCTAACGACCAAAACTTTAAGGCAAAAAACTCTAAAAGACGAGTGTCACAGGCATGAACCACCAAATATCACAAGTGTGAATCACTGAGTATGGCAGGCATGAACCAGTGAGTGCCATAGGCATAAACCAGTGAGTGCCATAGGCATAAACCAGTGAGTGCCATGGACATGAACCAGTGAATGACACATGCATGAGCCAGTGAGTGACACAGGCATAAGCCACTGAGTGCCATAAGCAAGAACCAGTGAGTGCCATAGACATGAACCAATGAGTGCCACAAAATGACTCATCTTGGCCTTTATTACAGAAATTCCTGAATTTTCATTTACATGTGAAACGAACAACAAAAACGAATGTGACACCACAATTGAGTTCTTGAGTTCAATATTTGGCAAACGTAAGTCAACATTATTGATCAAAGTAAATCATATTGCCTCTCCTTAGTAGGTAAATATGCAAAACCCTTTAAATTATTCTTGTAAGCAATGAAATTGCATTTCTTTAACCAAGTGCTGAAAGCAGTGCTACATGAATTCTCAAAAACAACAGAGTAGATATTTTTTTAAATTTAAAATAAAGAAAAGGTGAAATACTGCAGATAAAACTCAAATTTTCAAAATAGTACAGAGTGCAAATGAGACCGCTAAAATCAATCGCTAAATTGGAAAAGCCACAACATTATTAAGTTTTGACAAACATCTAATATACCGGCACTTGAGTGTGTGGTGCAACCAGGGCTCAAGAACATACATAGTAGTACAATAATTTTGTCTACACATCCACTGTCAGCACTGTTATATATAGTGTTTACTATCTGAAATGGTTTAAAGATTATTCCCCCCCCCCAAAATAAAAATCTTTTTATCTTGTACACTTGATCAATAACAAATGTTCAACAATTGCAATATACAACATATCCTTCCTCTCCTCAAAGTGGCCCCTTTTTTATGTAATTTCAACTTTATTCCCACAACTCTACAGCTCTTACCACATCAATATAAAAGACTTTTATTACAATGACATGCTAGGTTTAAAATCTCCCATAATCATCATAGGCAATGTACATTTGAAAAACTTCATATCCAAAGGTCACACACACATTCTCAATGTTAGACTAAATTACGAAAGGAAACTAACCATTCATATATCAAAAGACAAGAACTCCTAATGTCTAATGTCTCCCCTTTCATATGCTGGCTTGTTCACTAGTGTTGCAAAACTTGACCTGACCCTGTTTAACCATAGGTAGCAAAAACTCCTTGATCACTGACGTCAGCAGTCCCTCGGATCAGTCCTCAGCCCATTACATGAGTGTATAAATGCCCTCTCATCACAGCACAAAATCAATTGAACAAAAATGTACAGATAATGTACAACAAATAATTTATGCACATTAATAAATTGTAATGCAATTCTGAGCTTGGTAAAGCAACACGCATCACCACTGTAGCAGTAGCCAATCAATGTCATATTACCTCAACTACTTTACCACCACTTAAATTTCCTCACATCAATATTATGGCTTCCGTGATTAAATAATTCTGTCTACTTTTAACCAAGACATAAAATAAATAAATTTGTCATTTAACATTTTAAAACAAATAATTAAACAATTATCAGATTCAAATCACACTGTTTTAGAATACAAGTAAGGACAAGAGAAACAAAACTGGACCCTTTCATACCCAAAGAAAATAAAAGGTTAAGGTATTTTGAGAGGATGAAGAAATGAATGGATAGAGATACACTGTAGAGAAAGGACACACGATACGAATGCAGATCGGTACCGAGAACATTAAATATTAGAAGTAAGACCTTGGTGAAATGCAATACTGCCCCTTACTGTACTTTTGCACAGGGCAAAGGAGGTGATAAGTAAGTAATTATCAAAAGAAGGCACCAAACCGGGAAGGCTATGTAGCACCATCAAAGTGCGAAATAATCAGAGGGCGCTAAATATCACCAAGAATGCCAATACGAGAACAGAAACGCAGAAGGCGAGGAGGTGATAATAAACACCAAATAATACGTAAGATTGTGTTCAATTTATGTACATTATGCAAAATACAATGGAACTTTTTGATATGTTGAACTTTGAACCAAAATCCTGGTCTCACTGGCTAAATCAATACTCTAAATTTAACAAACTGCAATGGAAATTATATTTTTATTAGATCTTTCTTATTATATAAATTATATCAACCACAGTCTTTTAGCAAAATTTAGTCTACACAAATGCATATACAGAAATATGACTCTTATATGACAGATTGCTGGGTAGATGGAACACCACGATCATAGCTCTCATCCTGTAACTACACTTAGGTAATTATATTTAATTAGCACTAAATTTGCAGTCAAGTAAGACATGTAAGAAAATACAGTATAGATAAATAAAAGTAATGACTATTAAGATTGAAAGAATATTACAATGAAACAGCCATTTTAGTAACATTTCAGGCATTCAGGCACAAACTATGCTATACAGTACATGAATTTATTAAAACCTAAATATCTTTCCCCTGGCTTGCAATAAAAATTTGGATATCATTTTCTCGTTAAGAGTACTTTATTCACCGTATATATCTGCACATGTAGCAGAGCCATATACTGTATGAACACATTCCCCACCACATTCCACTAGCTCACTCTGGTTGTGTACTATCTTTCATCTGTATAATTAAAATCTTTAAAATGTCATACGCTATAAAAAAAAAAAAAGAGGCAATTCAGATATTAAGGAATAAATCAAGAGAAAACAACAGGAACAAAATATAATTGACAGAATCCTCTTGGTCACATTTCATCAAGTTAGGACAAGCCCATGTTCACAGAAATTTGCTCACATTTCATCAAGTTTGAACAAGCCTACGTTAACAGCAATTGTTCATATTTCATCAAGTTTGAACAAGCCTACGTTAACAGCAATTGTTCATATTTCATCAAGTTTGGACAAGCCCATGTTGAGACAAATTGCTTAAATTGAAATCATGATGGCCTACTTCAAATGCCTGTAGTTTTCACAAGTAACATTTAAAGAGTCTATTGATATCTGACTCCTATATCTTGTTTTATATATATATTACTGCATATTCATAAGTATATTTCAAGGTGCCATATTTTCCATTATTGTTCTGTGCTTAACATGATAACCATTGCCCCCTGTGCTGAAGCACATAGCAGAGTTTTACTGTTGATGCCAAATGGAATTTTTGTTAGCATTTTATTTCACAAACCATGATGTTCCTAATTCTCTTGCATGGTATAGGACAAGCAAAACATTTTCACACACCTAGAGAAACACAGTCATGTATTCCTGCACTGCCCCCACCTCACAAGAACACTGCTGGAGGACACACGATGCCCACTGAATGACATGCTAAATGATGTCATGTTAATGTCTCCAGTGAGACAATCAGTAGTACTGCAGCTCACTGATCGTGAGGACATACTGTATCTACAAGGTACAGTATATTATTACAGTTGTTACACCAGAGAATACAGTGGTCAGGCACCTTAACCAGACAATTCATATAATTTCTCTACACACAGATACCAAATACATACCAGACTCGGCACCTTCACCTGACAAATGGAGTAACTTCATTTTCTGGTAGCAGTGGAGGAGGCTGGCTGCTGGTGTGATCATAGTTTACTAAGCGACGACCCACCAAATACTTATCATTTTTTATATGTTCATAGAGGCGTGTAAATTGTACAACTTGCATGATGATGAGGCTAGACAATAAAGTTATGATCAAAAGCGCTGGGTAGATACGACGCTCAACCAAAATCTGCAAAATACAAGTCTTGTATATAAACTATACAATACAAATCTATTGTATCCAAAAATTTGAACCACATACAAAATTTCAGTTTACATGTCTTAGTTACTTACATATCTTACCTCTCTGATCTGCATGTCACGTTAGATAAATAACTGATTAAATTCAGAAATGATTACATACATAAGTCAGCTCAGATGTGATGACCAAGTAAGTAATTATCAAAGAAGGCACCAAACCGGGAAGGCTATGTAGCACTATGTATGTGATGACCAAACCACACACCAGTAGATAAAGAGACAATGTTTCGGTCCGTCCTGGACCATTATCAAGTCGATTGTGATGGAAGAGTGGGAGGCATGGGCATTAAGTAAGGCAAAAGTGAAGTGAGGAACAGGTAAGAGAAAAAGGTAATTCCTAGATCAGCTCAGATGTCTATTAGCTTGTTGAAGATAGCAATTTGTGCAACACTGCATGTGCAATACAGCATGTCATTGTAAAACAAAACAAAAACGAGCAGCGGAAATAATTATGATTTCAGCAGCATCATTATCTGTCTTACAAAGTGCAACATGTCACCAAATACACAGCTGCTGCTAACACAGAATCAAAGGAAGCCAATTTGATAATCCCAGTAGCGTAGCCCACTCGCACAGGAGCTGACAGGGTAAGTGCTAGTAGGAGAGGAACCTGACAGTTCCCTAATGAGTGGGAGCCATGAAATCTGTAGCTTTCACTTGCTGAAGTAATGCTAAAATGTGGAGATAGAGCCACCTCCTGAGACAAAATCTATGCTTATATAACCCCATTTAAATTGCTGATAACTGAGCAAAATGCAATTATTGTACAAAACAATCTATAAAAACTTACCAGAGCACTGGGTGGAGCAACAAGTGGAGCGATGGTATGAGCAGTTACGTAAGGTACGGTCAGACAAGCTCCGAGACAAGCAATAACCGGAAGCGCAGTCTGGCCCACAAGTAAGTTAAGATCCAGTCCACGTACTCCCCCGAGGTAGATGTGCTCCAAGTTAGTCTTCAACCACCAGTTGGGCCCCATCATCACCAAGGCACACATGATTTTGGTGTAAAGTACCCCTAGTGCCCAATCCTGAGAGGGCAAAATATTTTACTTTAATTATAAATAAATGACAGAAAATCTAAGATTTCCTTTATTTATACATTCAAGTTATTTATAAAATTACAAAAGGGTATCCAAAATACTTTCAAAGAATTCTTAATATGAAATTGAAAAGAAAAAGGAAATTAATAATATTCACCTGCCAGAGGAAGAGAATAGGCGTTTGATGTAGTGGTACTCTAAGAGGGATCACAATGACCAACTCCATTAACACGCCAACCATCAAAGGTACAACAACGGCCACTACCACAAGAGCTATCACTGCCTTCGTGCCCTGTGACAAAAAACAAACATTACATATTAATAATACAGTACAGTGCATTACAAGAAATTAATTTATCGAGTAGTTTTCACTTGAGTCAAACCAAGGAATGGTGTTAATATAGCTGTACTACAACACAACAGTCAGTGTTGACCAGACCACACACTAGAAAGTGAAGGAACGACGACGTTTTGGTCAGTCCTGGACCATTCTCCAGGTCTCTGATATCTGAAACGTTGTCGTCCCTTCACTTTCTAGTGTGTGGTCAGGTCAACATACTTCAGCCACATTATTGTGACTCATCGCCTGCACAACAGTGAGTGTTTCAATGTCAGCATTTAACCTTAATATGTCCTGGCTTTGCTCTCTTCAGTCACAACTCCCTCTCTGCTCACAGAAAAATTCTTATTCATAAAAACAATGTTCACCGTTCTCAATAAACGGCATGCCACTTACCATAATGCCCCACTGCCGAAGTCTAACAATTACTTGAGTCCATCCTAACATGATCCATGATGCTAGAAGGGTGATGCCTCGGATGCCTAGTAGACACAGATACAATCCACATGCACCAGTGTAGAGCTCATGAACCTAATTAAGCAGAAAGTTCATATTTAAAACAACATATTAAATACTTTAGTTATGTCACATTACTTAAAATACTGTACTGTGTACTTCCACTTGAACGGGACTCAATCTTCAGAATGCCAGTCGGACCAGAAGCTTTTACTACCATTTTAGAATATTGTACTGTGCAGCCAGCATTGGGTGTACTGGGAATTTTCATTAAATGTCAGCATGACACAGGGGGCATTTTTCCTGACTGTGACTCTCAATGAGAGGCATCAATTAAATACAAAAATTACTGCATGCTATACACGACATCATGTCAACTTAATCCTTCCACTGTATAACATGGTTAGATTTGATCTTGGTAATTATCTGTAACTTGCGCGACATGGTTGTGGAAGTTTTAAAGTACAGTACAGTACTGTACTGTGTAAAATTTTAAAGTCCTGTGGGTACACAGGGCTCACATCATCTTCCTCAGGCCTCCAGTAAACAGACATCATCTCAGAAGAAAATTGTGGGCACCCCTCCTGATTGTGAGAACCTCAGTACTGAGAGAGCAGTGCATGCAGCAGCAGCAGCTCATAACACTGCCAATTAGCATATGCCCATACCATCACTTAATAATGAAATAAATAAATAAATAAGTAATTGTGATTATTTAATGATGATAGTGTCATAGAAAATCCTAAAAATTATGTACTTGGTTTAGATATCAGTGAACTCAATGCTGATTACGACGTTCACAGCACGAGGCAGACATCCACAAAACACCGCTGTGGTTTGGTGTGTCCATCTTGAAATGGGACCTCGTGTTCCTTTAGAAAATAAACTCGTGGAAAGGAATAGTATACAGTATTGGGAGGCATTTGGCATGTCAGGCGGCATCAGCAGCTCATTACCATGTGGCACTATGCTCTTCTTGGATTATGAGATTACCACACCTACCGGAGCTGCCCAGTGGTTTGTGGTGGTGCATGAAACTGTAGAGGTATATACAACACATGTATATAGTGTAATAACAGCAAATACAGTACATTTTACTGTTCTAAGAATATATGGTGCACATATTAGTGACAAGAATATATCTGTGCATACCTATGTTTTACTTGTTCTTTGATACAAATAACATTATCGACAGCCCATTGCATCAATGCACTTGAAAAAAAATAAAACTTTAAAAATATGAAGGAAATATATAATATATTCATTGTATGCAGTTATAGTTTTGTGAAAAATATGTAGGGCTACTCTGATAACTGGTTAAGAGATTATTACACCCACCAGAATTGCTTAGTGGTTAGTAGCAACATGAAAATGTAAACAGTTATGTATAAAGGTTTTCAGTGTAATTTAACAAACAAAAACAGTATCAATATTTCTTATTTCTTCGTGTGTGCTTTCCTGGTGATGGCGAACATGATTAAAATTCCCTAACAATGTTATCATAATGCCACTGCTCTCTGCGCCTCTTTAGAGGGGACCAGTTTCTGGCTCGTGGTCCCTAGTAGGTCTAAAAGAAATCTGCGACTGATAGCACATAGTAGTTTGACACTAGATCAGCATTGTAGCTTCCAGGAGCCACAAAGGGCTCCTCTCCAGAAAACTAGAGAAAAACAAATCAGAGACATTGAAATAAGTATGTGAAAATATCTTCACGGAAACTCCCAGCCCACACCAACCCCGGGCCAATTGCTCCATGAATGCTCGTGAATTATGACATCATTGCAAAATTTTGTGGCATCACCATGACCAAAGTACTGTAAGTCACAAATGTTTTATATTTTTTGTGATTGGGAATGCATTTTACCAATATTAGAAGGTAAACCACTTTTAATTTATTTTTCCCGTGCATCAGGGTGTCGTCTTGCATAAATGCATAAATAATCAGACGGGGTTCCCACAATATCTTTCATACAATCTTGAAAGGAAATGTGCCCAAACACCTGTGTCCTACTTACAGATTTATTTATCTTTGATATTTAGCCTTTAAAACATAAGCATAGTAACTTAATAGATTAAAAATGTTGTTTCATTTTATAAACGGTTTAAACCTTAAAGTGTGGTTACTGTCATTCATTGATTCAAGGGAAATGCTGTTATTATATTTTGATTTCAACTATTATTGTCTTGGTTTTACACCAATGATGCTAATATGGATATAAAAGCTCTATATGGATGTAGTGAAGTTTACCTCGATCCGTGAAAAAATTCTGCTATTGTTTCATGATTACCTTAGCACCAACCTAATTAGAAACTCAAATATCATTACAAAATAAAGCTTGGCCAAAAATCTCAACAATTATGAGTTCTACAGCTTGAATGTGAGACCAATACAACAAACAATCTTGAAGAATGTTTGGCCCCCATCTGATGTTTACAGATGTCAGTGATCAGAACAATTCTGAAGTTTTTAGAGCAAAATGCTAGTAAAAGGCAGAAATTAAGTGTTACCATACATCTTGCCTATGTTAGGGGGGGGGGGGCAAAGTCCATAGAAATGAGATGAAATAGTTTCAAACAAACTTGAGAAAACAGATGAGTGGATGTAAGTGTGCGCTTCACACATCCTTGCTACATAAAGCATGGCTAATTCATAATTTGTGGCAGACTAATCAGAAGGAGATGGAAGACGTGGAGGAAGATGAGACGCTAAAGAAAGCAATGATTAAAAAAACACTCTGAAGGCCTTCTTAGTTGCAGTATATGAATTAGATACTGTACTTATTTTATGCTCAAGATATGATAATAGGTTTACATATGCGTTTTTCAATACAAGATCAGATGAAATAAAACAATTTACACTACACGACTGTTTAGAAAGTTCAGCTAAGAAAGCTTGCATTGAGGAATATGTACGTAGTTCATCACAAGACCCCTGACACTCCAGCATCTGTGACTAACACATCAAATAACTCTACTCTAGAAAATGAAGTTACGTGTACTGAAATACACCTCCCAAACCATGTAAATTACTCTACTACATCAATAATATTCAAAAATTTAAAGGGGAAAAAAAGCTTCATATTGAAGAGTACCATAAAACTTTTTAAATATTCTCGTTTTTACGTACAATTTGAGAAGGGGCAGCTGGTTTTTCGGACACAAGTTCCTCGGACAGTCTCGATCCCGAGGTGTCCGGATACAGCGTGGTTGCCTGCAGTTGTATACAATTAAACACCTTCTATATCAAGGTGCCTAAAGCACCAATAAAGAAAAAAAAATTAAAAATAAAAAGTTAAACGTGTGAAATATTTTTCCCTATATCAGATTGTAACTTGCTAGAGCCATATGTCACATAATCACTACTCTAATGCACCCTGACTACCATCATCCCTCTGACTATTTGATTCATAAATGGACTGAGGAGGAGTCTACGATCAGGACATATCATTAACGAGAATTAAGACAGAACAAAGGACAGAAACACCTATATCGTAATGGGCATGGGTCACCCAAGTACAGTATGTATTAGTAAACGTGATGGCTGCCTCGGATGTCTCTGCCTCCATCTCATATACTGTACTTAGCATTCTATAAATACCTAATGCCTTACCTACAATACTGACCAAACTCTGAGCATACTTTAACCTTGTGATTCATTAACAGTTTACGCAGACGAGGAGTCACAATAACGTGGCAGGAATGCGTTGACCAAACCACACACTAGAAAGTGAAGGGAGGACGACGTTTCGGTCCGTCGGTCACGTTTGTTAGAAACGTGACCTAACATAAGCTTACCAAGCTAACCATGGTTTCTAGTCTTTCTCACTCATTGTCCCCATCCGAATCTCTTGCCCAAGCTTCATCACTCAAGCATGCTTGGGAACCACATGTTTTGAGATCTATGGCTCTCTGCTGATCAACACTTATTGATTTTTAGCCATATTTGAATAGTCACTTGTATGGGGTTCAAGTGGAATTTAGATTACAGTCTCATGTCTGAATTAGATATGTCAAATGTGTAATATAAATGCAGTAATTTCGTGGCGGTAGGAGGAGGTTGAGAGAACCAAAAATACTGAACAAAGCATAGAGGAAGTTCACAAGTAATTTAAAATTTGTATGGTACACACCTTAAGAACTCTGCAAATTATGAATTTCTAACACTACATACTTTTCAAACATTAAAATGTAAGGCATGAAACAATTAACAAAAAATTTTCACACTTGTCAATTGAAACCTTAACTCCAGTAAGGTCCACATCCTCCCACACCCACAGTAACAACACCACACACTCGCTAAGATATCATTTCAAGAGCATATGTTGAACAACAACTTGACACACAGTGATATATCTTACATTATGTAACATATTTATGGGGTCTAGAAGTACAGTTGGCTTTGTTCTCGACTCTCAATCACGAATCTTCCTTTTGATTCCCGGGCAGGACAGAAAAGGTTGGGCACACTTCCTTTCACCTAATGCATCAGTTCATCTAGCAGTAAATAGATACACTGGAGTTGGGCAACTGTTGTGGGGTTGCATCCTTGGAAGGTCGGTGGTTTGACCTACAAGGGACTCCAACACAAGCCTACATACACAGACTTCCTGTCCCCGACAAAATGAATTACACTGAAATTATTGTGACCCTAATGTTATAAATCTTTATGTACCATATTTACCAGAGGATAAGGTGCCGTTTGTGCACCAGTAATGTTCATCGTCTACATAAACGATCTACCAGAAGGAATACAGAATAATATGAACATGTTTGCGGATGATGCTAAGATACTGGGGAAGATCAGAGATGCAGACGATTGAAATGCCCTTCAAATCAATCTAGATAAAATAAGTATTTGGAGCATCAAATGGCAAATGGAATTCAATATGAATAAATGCCATGTTATGGAATGTTGAAGAGAAAATAGACCCCACACAACTTACAAATTTTGTGGAAAGGAATTACAGAACTCTAATAAAGAATAAGACTTAGTGGTGGTTTTGGATATTAAGCTGTCGCCAGAGGAACACACAAAGAAAATTGTGAGAGGAACGTATGCGTCGCTTTCCAACTTCAGACTTACTTTTAATTATATGGATGGTGAAATACTAAAGAAACTGTTCATGACTTTTGTAAGACCAAAATTAGAATATGCATCTGGGAACACCCCATGCGTAGGTTCGAACCCTCATCACGACCCTTGTGGATTTGTTCATTTGATACATATCATGTTGTTGTGATTCGTGTGTGTATTACCAACCTGATTTCTAGAGGCAAGAAGCAACAGAAAAGTCACCTTCAACATATAGGAAAGAAGTCACCTGGGACCCAGGAGAGAAGATAAACTCTAACACACTATCAAGAGACAATGTCAGCTCCTCCATGGCATGAGCAACCCATATAACAAAGAACACCCCTTGCTGCAGAAGTACCTGGACAGCCACGGCCTTAGCTCAGCAGAACGAAAATTGCCTATCACTTGCACGAGCCACTGGCACACCAGCACCACTGACTCATGCAGGCAGCCTCAGACACCCCAGAACGTCTCACTGGGTGGACAAACAGAATATAGTCCCAACCTGCAGAAAGATGCCCTCTGTCCTGAGAAATATACAAGTTGGATCAACTGACCACCAGGGGTTGGATCCCCACTCCAAGAAACTCAATACTGAACACCCAAAAGGGTAATACAGATAAAGGAAAGCTATTCAATATAATAGTAAAATGTACAACCTGTCCTTTCAAACAATATATAGCATTTTGATGTCAAAATCCCCAATGGGCAAAATATGATGTAATGTAAATTGTGGTAGCTCGCAAACATTCACATCTTCTGTCCAAGGGATTGCTCAGTTAGGTACGAGAGTTTTTGTACACCATTTTCTGTCTGTTGTGGCAACTCAAGAGGATGGGCTGGAATGTGAGTGGAATACACTACAGAGGAAATAGAGTAAGTTAACACATACATGAAATCAAATAAAATCATTATCATAATTTGTCCAACATTTACTAAGTGGAGAACCATTACACAACAAAATATAGAACAGTTTAATATATACAACCGTTAAAAGATATTCAAAGATGACACCCCAGCAATGCATCACCTGTTCCACACACACACAAACATACATACATACATCAAACCACGAAGGTAGACATCAAACTGGCTGATTACTGGTCAAGAGGAAGAGCCCATGAGCTGGGTATTAATCCCTGCAAACTAATGTAGGTGACTACAACATGATTAAAAAGCAAATGAAATCAACACATTTGGATTTTATATAGAAGGTACTGGAGATCTGGGTGCGGAAATTCCCACAACAAAATAATCCTTTACCAAAGAAGTCAGAATGTGTCAAAAGGTACAATTACTGCAGTATCAGGTCAAAATGGCCTATTTAAGGGACAGCCCTAACTGTTTCCAAGCGAGTCCCCCCGATATAATAATACAGTATTCTCATAAATATTCCTATCTTGGACACCTTGTTTACTCAAAGAAACTCCCCACTGATAATTCTGATGAAGATATTTAATCTCTGATGAATATTTTGTTATTTCATAACTTTTATTAATATTCCAATATTTTAAAACTGCTCTTTCATCAATTTACTGCAATATTTTAATCTTATGCATTCCAATTTGTTTACATCTGTCAAAAAATAAATCTTAAAGATAAAGCTCACTGAACTAATAGTCTTATTAGTATGATCACTCCCACCAATAATACAATTATTTAATATTTACAGTCTTTCAACCTGTAAACTGTTCCAATCATTATCTGCAATTATCTCCCATGCTCAAATTGTCAATGGGAGCATGGAATGCTCCCATTGACAATTTGAGATAATTTACCTTATCATTTTCATTAGTTTTGCAAACCACTTGTTGTCATTCACGCCGCAAAGAACGACTTTTAATTAACCGAGCTATTTTAGGGTTAAGATACAAAAGCATGAAGTGCACACAAGAGAAAAAGATCCAGTTACCTTAGTATCTCCCAATGCTAAATACATGCATTGTCGGCCCACAAGAACTGGAAGCGTTAAGCACATAATTGACGCTGCAGTGAGACTAATGCACATCATGACGACCAAGCCCAAGATCCGCACTCCAAACCACCTTGGACGCACATATGCTTGAAATCCTGAAAAACAGAAAAAGTAACGTTCAGAATACAACATTTTCCCAACTGCCTAACTTACCCATGATAAAGTCATTTGCCAGTCAGAAAATTACTTATCAAGGCACATGTAAACATAACAAACAAACACTGTGTGCATTACTTCTAAAACCATTGTAGTACACACAACCGTCTGCAACACACACAGACATAATTCGTAACTTGCCCTTTCTATCAAATGTTTCATTAATAAGAAAAATTGAACTCATTTTTGGGAACTAAAATTAAATGGAGAAAGTGTCATCACTTCCAAAATTACCAACCAGTTGGTCCATCACGCTGTAACAATGCTTGATGTGCAGCTCCGAGGCCTCCTGCTAAGGCATCAGCAGCGCCGCCGCCAGCACCACCACCACCACCAGCAGCGCCACCACCGGCAGCCCCACCAGCAACAGCACCACCACCAGCAGCAGCGCCACCAGCACCACCAGCACCACCACCATCATTACCACCACCAACCACAGGGTTCACGATTCCCTCTACTGGTCCTTCTGGCTCAGCCTGAGGAACAATTTCAGCTCCAGCCGCTGCCTCTCCAACACCACCTCCTGTATCACCACCTATAACTACTCCACCACCCTGAAATACATTATAAAATTTAAATTTCATATATATAATTAAAAAAATCATATATATAAATCAAAAGTTAAATGAGTGATAATTATCCAAATGACCATACTGAATAACAAAATATTACTAACACTAAATATAATCAACACTGGCAACCAACCTGTGCATCAAGAGCCACGTCTCCCAAGAGATATGATCGAAGCCCCAAAACATGAGAGACCGCAGCGCACCAGTGTCTCACCAACAGCTTGAGCCAGACGCGTGTATGGCCCTGCTCTAGCAAAGCTGGCAGGATAACCTGAAGCAGCAACAACTCCAAAGATAGTTCACTCACTGGGGTGTCACTGTAATTTAAAAACATTTATATGAAATAAGTTGATGTGCTCTCTGCTATGTACTGATATTCACTAAGCTCTGTACAAATGCAGAAGCTTGAACAATATGAATTCACAGAGGAAAAATCCTGATCAACATGATGAAATTCTATGATAGGGTCACCAATAGAGTAAGATAATTAAGACCTCTGTAAACTGCATAATCCTACAATGTAAAAATGAAGACAAACAAGGATTATGGAAAAGACACTGAACTGGGTACATGAATTCCTGGCACAAAGGGTCATAGTCAGAGAGGACAAGTCAGGCTGGGGAAGAGGAAAAAGTAGGGTTCCCTAGGGTTCTGTCCTAGGACTGTTGCTCTTTTTATTTACCGGTGTGTTAATGATCAACCAGAGGGTGCGACCTTGAACATATCAATATTGTGAGATGATGCAAAACTAATGAGGATAGTAAGAACAAAGAAGAACTGTAGAGTGCTTCAAGAATGCCTTAACATACATCAGGAGCTCAAAGACAAATTGCTGTAGGAATGAAATCCAAACAAGTATAAGGTAATGAAGATGGGGAAAGGGAGATGGGAGATCTGTAAGAAACACACCATAAAGGAAAGATAACTAATAGAAACTATTAGAGAGAAAGGCCTCAAAGCTTTAACAAAAAACTAACACCAGAAGCCCACTGGAACAGGATATCATCATCAGCATATGAGAAGTTAGTAAACATAAGAAGTCTCTTTCAAAATCTAAGCAAGGAGGCTTTCAAGTTCATATTTAACACTGCCTATGTGAAACCTATGCAGAACTGGCATAGAATATGTACCATGTGAAGGACAAAATACAGAGAAAGTACAGAGATTAGTGAGCAGACTAGTGCAAGACATGAAGGGACTCAGTTAGGGGAACTCAATCTCACAACCTTATAGAGAAGAAACAGAGGGGGTATGATCACTACATAAAAGGTACTGAGGGGAAATATACAATGTGGCCAAAGACCGGCTATTTAAATTTAGAGGATGTAGGACAAGAAAACAATAGAGAAAGCTGAATACACAATAGTCAAAGGTACGAGGAAATTCTCCTACCCTGTATGGATAGTTGGGTAATGGAATGCACTGAAAGAAGCTATAGAAGTCACTTCCATCTACAACTTCAAGGAAAATGCAGACCTTGAACTTTGAGGTATAGTATATAATTATTATGGAAGGTATAAAAGGCTAGGAAATGGGACTAGATCATGCTTATCCGTAATCAATAAAAGGTAAACTGATAGATAAAGCAGACATCAACAGAAAACAGGAGAGTTCAACTATAATTTCCACAACTGGGATGTCAACAATACCCACTATACCCCCCAAGGAAAATGAAGGCACCATTATCTACCTACAGTGGTACATCTCCATGACAAGTCAGAGTGCCTTACATCATTAATACAGTACACATATCTATCTTTAGTCCACCATTATACAATAAAACACCATTTTCTTCTATACGTTTTTTTTCTATACTTTGGCAAACTGGCAAACACTATGAACACAGCATTAAAAACATAAATACAGTATAAAAATAGGTCTGGATTCCAATACATTGTCTTATTCATCTAAGAGATTCAAACCATCCAACTAGCTCAAGTCTCGGGAAAACTACAGAATGTATGTTGAAATTTCTTGTATTAAATGCAGTGAACTTCGTAATATAAATTCATCCCCACTCACACTCTAGCTCTGTATATGAACAAAATTAACACTTTTCATAGCTGGATAACGTAATGCTACGTACCTGGAAAGTGTGATATGGTATGGCAGGAAAGAAGGCCAAAGCCCATGAATGATTTTTATGGGTAACCATAGCATTAGCAGAACTGTAGAGCCGAAGATGACCATAGAAGCCAGGAAACGGCGAGTGTGACGCACAATCGGTAAGTGAATCATCTGAATCGAAAAGTCACATATAAATTAAGTTCAAAGAATTTATTAATAATTTTAGTTAAATACGTACTAAATATTACAAACAAACCAAAAGCAATTTTAGTTATTTGATGTGCACCAACAACAAATTTTCAAAGGTAAATCAGTTCACTATTTCATGGATTTAAAAGCCTGAACAATATCAGCTGCATCATGCTTAACAGCCTTTGGATTCTCATAAGCTTCAACAATCAAAGCAGCACAGTCATCAAAACAAAAGTTTGATTTGATGTTTTCATTATGAGAAAGTCGGTTATAGAAAGTTTCACATAATGTGTGAAGTGTCTTATCAATTTATAGGTTATGACAATTCTTTTTAAAATGCAGATTTATCAATGACTCAGATGAAGGATTAACAAAATATAATAACTTAAAGCATATAAATTGGGAGGATTATACAATGTTGTTATCAGTATTCTGAGCAAATAGTAGATTTGGTCACTTTGACGTCACCATCTCGACATGAGATTCAACCACAACTGATCACATTCATAGGTCATGCCAGTAGCCCTTTTGCAGCAACCCCAAGTGACTGCATAATTGTGCATTCTATATGTCATGGCCCCGAGATGCCTGGGCATTTTATCTGGACTCTCTTGTTCGATGGACATAACCATATGTTACCCCTTGAGTGTCTAACTTCTGCTCAGCTGTCTATTCTATTACTCTGCATTGTCCTTAACAACTTGTTACAGAAGTTTGTGATCGAGGTGATGCACTCTTTTTCAGGTGGTGTCTCGCTTGTGTCCAGTTCCAAGAAGCCACTCTCCTTAGCCATGCTCCATTCTAGATCTGTTGTGGATGAATACTCAAATTCCCTGTTCAACATTCCTTATGACAAGTATATCCCAGGTGGATTTGAACCAATCTTGACTCATGTCCCTGCATCAGAAACATGCTTACTGGTATATTTCGATACATCCACAGTCAGAAAATGAGACTGGCTAAAAATTTAAGTGGACCACCTCAATTACCACCTCTATTGAAGTTTATACTCCCTTGCTTGTAAATGCCATCTGAATTTGTGTACATAACTTTAATACCGCTCATATTCACTGGGTTGCTTAGCTTGTCCCAGAAGGTGAAAGTTCTGGGTAATCAAAGCTCAAAAAACCGTAGGGGTGGGGTCAGGGAATGAAGTTATATTTTGTAATACAGTATTCACATCTGTTCGTCCTTTTTCCTCTATGGAGTGAGCAAAATAAAACCAGCTTGTGAGGCAGGTATGGATAGGCTGGCCTGAAAAACACACACAAGAGATTGGCATTTGTTGAACAAAATATTTTATGGCATTGACTTAAAATAAACCTTTAAAAAACGAACCTCCTGTACTGGATTAAAATCTGGATCGTTTAGGTTTCGTAGGAACCAGAGGACACCCGGCCGCAAAACTTCCCGTAGCAGAAGGATGAAAGAGGCGAAGTAGAAGACATAAACCATTCCTACCAGCCAGTGGATAAACATTGACGTTCCAGGTGCCGCTTTGAAGCTAACTTCTCGATCCTTCAAAAAATACATGAAAAATCAGTATAAGAAAAGTACAAATTATAAAAAAGACTGAACTATTAAATGCATTATTTTAAACATACTTTAGCTATCATATAATTCATTGGTAATAGTATAAAACAAATTTAATGAGTATAAAAACTGGTATATACCCCTTCTTTACTAACATTTCTTATTGATTATACTGTAATACTCTCATGTATCAATTTAAATTTATAATTGTAAGCAAAAATACATGAATATAGCATTACTAGCACATTTCCCACCTTCAGTGTCCAAAAGGGAACTCGACAAACACCTCCACAGGATACCTGAACAACTGGGTGGTGATTCATCACCACCCTGTAAGACTGTGAACAGCAGCATCTAACAGTCTGGTAGACTAGACCACCAATTAGCAGGCCTGGCCAGAGACCGATCTCCAGAGACATTGATCCTCGGTACAACCTCAAAGTAACCTCAAAGTATGGAGAGGAAGCCATCACCCAAGCCTTTATAACCCTTCCCTCACTCAATGGAACCAAACCAACTCAATACACATTTCTTAACCTCACAATTTACTTAACTTATTTTTGCACTCATATTTTTCCCACAACAGCTAATGCTTCTCAGTTTCAAAATTTCAGCCACTTCAGCTCTTAAATTTTTATGCCCATGCCATACCAGTGTCTCGCATCAGCACCAACCAAGAACCCTGGAGCCAAGGAAGGTGCAGGAGGACAGCAAGACAAAACAAAGCAGCAAGCATATACCAGCAGACACAAGCCAAGATAATAAGAAAGATAAGAAACCGAGATGATTGTCATGCCCTTCAAGAAGACCTGGACAAAATAAGTGTATGGAGCACCACTTGGCAAATGGAATTTAATGTGAATACAGTAAATGCCATGTTAAGGAATGTGGAATAAGAGTACATAAATCCCACACAACCTATAAATAATGTGAGAAATCTTTAAAGAATTCAGGTAAAGAGAGAGATCTAGAGGTGGTTCTAGATAGAAAACTCTCACCTGAGGACCACATAAAGAACATCGTGTGAGGGCCCTATGCTACACTTTCTGCCTTCCAAAAGAGTCCAAACTGCCCCACATTTAACCTCCTTGCAAAAACCAAATGCAGCTGTGGCAAGTGAAAAAATGCAAAAAAAGAACAAAAGACCAACCAAGGAGATGGGTCCCTGTGCATCCTTCCTCAGCCCCTCCCCAGCACCAGAAGCTACACAGAGAATCCATGACCTTGAGGCAAAACCCTCTTTCATACCAGATGAGAGACAAAGGCATTGCCTCCACAAGAAAAGACCTATGCTATTAATACTCCGAGAAGCAGAAAGCAGCGTATCCTCGGCAAGAAGCACCAACTCTACTACTCCACTGCCAACATGGAAAGGGCAACCACACGCAAAGAAATGCTAGCTTCAGACCCCAAAACCTGAGATGTGTTGGAGCCCCTGGAACAAAGGAGGGAGGGACAAGAGACCCAACACACCACACTAGTAAGGCTGGGAGAAATAAACAGAGCACACAGAACATGTGGAAAAACCAACCACTCAAACTCTGAATTAAGGAAACACAAAAGGACCAACTTGGAACCATGTTGGCACCAAGCTACAAACAACACACACACAGGAAAACCGTTCCTGCAAAACAGCAGTCACCTGGTAAGTCCTGTCTCAAGACTAATATAGTTGAAAAACCAGTACCATCACAGGAAGCATGGTGCCATAGTGATGTCACACACCCGGTGCACACCATACAGAATAAGAATGATATTAGGGAAGGATGTGGACCCAATGCCCCAGATAGGGGTTTAACTAAGAAGAATCTTAAGAATGTAGGTTATCAGAAAGGAACAAGGCTCTGTAGTCGTTGGACAAAGCAAAGTCACTTCTTGAAAATATTCATCTCTTAAATTCAACTGCTTCGTAGTATGATAAAATATTGAGACCATACGATGGGATTGAACTTGCATCACTGGACTCCCCATATACATCATGTTCTGGTGATATTACTGTGCTTTGTAGTACTTTGGCCACCTAATGTGACATTTGTCTGGCAACTTATGGATCAAGATGTCATCATGAACTTAATAATAGCCATTACCACAACTTTTTTTTTTTTTTAGATTCTATCTCAATAGCAACTTGAAAATGAAGTGCATGTTAAGAAGTTTACAATCAAGAGTGCACCATGGAAGATCACAATTGCTTACGTTGTGAAATATGTCAGTGTACAACAATTGTTGATAGCCAGCCATTATGTCCACGAGAAATCTTGAAGATGATTCCAAAAGACTTCAAGGTGAGACAAAATATGACAATTTTGATGTATGACTGAACCAAGTTATCAGAGTGAATGCCAAAGCAGGGGGTGAGATGGCTGAATGTCTTAAAGGATGTTCCTACCATAGGGCTCCTAATCAATACTGAAATAATGAAGATGGTCACCAGTCCTACTGCCAAGTTAAAATGACAGCACACACACTACCATAATAGTGAGGATGACAAAACTATGCTACCTTTAATATACTCTTTCAGTGATATGGTAGACTAGTTGATGAAAAAAAGAGAGAGACTTGTTTATAATGATGAGAACTGATTATAGCCTTAACCAGATGATGAATATACACTTTCTGATATCCCAGACACTCCACACACACAACAGAAAATGCAAACTCGCCCCAAGAACCCTATCCTTAAACAGCAAGTACCGAGAGTAATAAATGCCTTTAACGCCATCAGTCCCCAAGTTCTATTTGTAGTGATCTAACCACCCTCCCCTCCCTTGTGCATTATTTAAGAGCTATCTATGACCATACCAAGGGGTCTCCAAACTACGGACTGCGGATACATCTGACCCACTACAAGATTGTATCCAGCCACAGCAACTTTAAATACTGTACATATCATTAATATAAATAATTATTTCCCTTCATTTTTTCTCAATCATGAGGTAGAGCAGATAACACATCAAGTTCCTATCTGCTGTGTTCCCTCCCATGTGACAACAAGCCAGAATGTTCGTCAGCCTAGCAAACCCCCATTTTCAGCCGCATAGTTACCTTGAGGTGTGCACCACATGCACCATATGCTGTAAGACCCCCAAAACCATAAACACTTAATGATAACCTCGCCCTTGAAACGTACTAGTACTAGTTTGCAGGAAGCTGCAGATACGACGCAGATCTCTGCATCTTGTAACATCTCTGAGTAACCATCATCACTGCACAAATCCTAATAATTTTTGTTTGTTATACAAGTTATTTTCCATTATGCTTATCTTCATTGCAATTATTGTGAACATAAGTTTTTTTTGTATTAAAGTTAAGTATTTTAACATTCTCTTCCACAGGTCTTGATTTCTCATGAAAACAAACGCCATGTTACTTTTCATTGTGCATCTGAATGTGTTGTTTGCCAAGCAGTTAAGATAAATTTATACTGGTATATTTTCGTTTTGGAATTCTCTCTGATATTTATTATTGGCTTGGGTAGAAAGGTGCAGACATAATTTATTTTTTAACCTTTATTGATGGCTACAAGTTTATTGTTAATTTTGTTTATTTGTTTTACTGAATTTATTTCTCGATGAGTGTTTATTTTCCTTACGGTGTGCCACAAAATTGGGCCAATTCTCATTTTAGGTCCAAAAAAAATTTGTAAAATTTTAGTAAATAAAATTAATAAAAAAGGAATGACGTACTTTTCTCAGCTACAGTTAGGTAAATTGATTCTTTTGTTAGAGCATTTGCTAATGGTTGACATTTTTACTCATTATATATCATTTTCCAGTGTAAGCACACCATCCTTTCTTTGTAATTGTTAAATTTCTATTTTGTCCTGAATCATATGACGCTCATTACCCCCAAAAAATTATTCAAATAAAACTTATTCATTTATAAAACTGATTTTTTCTTTGGCCCCCAAAATGTGTAAAATATAAAGTGTGGACCTCATATTGAAGAGTTTGAGAGACCCCTGCGGCACAGTCGAAAATGCTGATGATCCTAATATTCCCCCTCAATCAAAGTCATTCTATGGCCAAAAGAATATCACTAACCTCATCCTCATTAGCAGAGTCCTTCTCCTCCCTCCACCACCACACCCTCCTCTTCTAGATCACCACAGACACACAAGGTAACGTGTTAGTTTGACATATTATTATTGTTTTTAATATACAGTAATTATGCAAAATTATTTATCACTCATTTAAATATATGGCAGGTTTCTATGCTAGAGAGAGGGGGGGGGGGTGAGAGAACTGGGAGCATTTCGTCAAAATCAACTACAGCATCGAGACATAGCCAGGAATGGACAGGTCCCTAGTAATGTCTTGACAAGAGGTACCACTGCATGTCATTAAAAGGAATCTGTCTAAATTTGCCCCATTAGGCTACCTTTGTTAATAAACACCGCTCCCCCTGGGAATTTCCTATCCTTGAGGGGGGGTTAGGAGGGGGGGTCAGGCATATGTAGACTTCTTCCCCAGATATATCAGATTACAAATGTTAAAAAGACCCTTAAAGAAACACCCAAAGCATCTGCCAAAGAATTATACATGCTGGTTTGACTATCATGTATGTGCCCACCACAGGACTGATTAATGATTAGAGTATAGAGGAATATCGACAACAGTATTTGGAATTTTGCCCTGCCTGTAAAAATTTTAAAATGGTAAAGACAATGAACTATTTCATTGTGAATAACTTAAAATGGAGACATTACACCCTCCAGCATTTCATATCTTCAAGACAACCAAGAACCCAACAATCATCTAACCTTTTAATTCGGTCAACAAATTTCAGCCTGACTTCTAAACAGAAAGTCAAACTTTGAGGGACAGGGCAATGTAGCCCAACAATACCACAGGCACCATCCCAAGAAAATGGAACACTATTAGCCTGTTACCCATTCTCGGTGTAAAGAAGAGGGGGTGTCTACAGTTTACAAATATTTATGTATACAGTGTCCAGGATGCTAAACTAAATTTGGTGCCAGGAGCAACGTGTGGCAAGACCCATGTGGGAAGTGGTGAACACCAACCTCAATAACGACTTTTGAATGTAAATTAGAGTATACAGAAGTGTCTAGAGAAGTAGCAGAACAGCTGTTCAGGGGCTAGACAGAAATAAGGCAGCTGGACCAGATAGTCTCACCTTGGGTGCTAAGAAAATGTGTATGGAAATTAGCACCCCACTACAGTACATAGCATCTTTCAAACAACCTTACAAACAGGAAACTTAGCTAACATATGAAAAAAAAAATAGTTCATTCTGTAAGAATGGAAACAGAAGACCAAATAAACTAGAGACCTGTATCACTGACAAGTGTAAGAGTAAAAAGCACTAGAAGCAATTTTTGAAAACAAATAGACATAACTTGGAAAGCAAAGATATAATAACAGAAAGCTTTAATTTTGAACAGGAAGGAAGTGCATAACAAATATACAGTACTTAAGTTTCCATGATAGAGCCACAGAAATAGTGCAGGAAGAGAAGGTTGGGCTGATGGTATATACATGGACTTGAAAAAAGCCTTTGACAAGAGTTCCACACAAAACACTTGTGGAAGTTGGAACACATTGGGAGGGTAAAAGGCAGATTTCTAAGTTGAATGAGAATTTTTTATCAAAAGACTATCATAAGCAGTGAACAGAGGGAATGTAACTCACAGAGCGCCTCAAGATTCAGTTCTTGCACTGGTAATGTTTATCAATATAAATAACCTACAAGAGGGATTACAGAGTTGCGTGAATATGTTTGCAGACGATGCAAAATTGCTAGGGAGAGTTGGGGCTTAGAAGACTGTATTGCCTTCTAAAATGACCTAGACAAAATATGTGAGTGGAACAACACATGGCAGAAGGATTCAAAGTCAACAGTGAAGAGGGACACAGTGGCAGAGAACAACAACAACGGAGTCAGGGCTACACTGGCAAGTACAGTAGCAACATTCTGCTAGCATTGTTAAAAACTCATTTATTCCTTCCCTACTCCATGGTCTCAGGTGTGGTACTGTGTCCCCACTGGTCTGGAGAGGGGGGGGGGGGACCTGCTGCCTGGGTAACAGCTTCTCCCCCGAATCAACCTACCCTGGCTTTGCGCCCTGGTGAGGCCACTCCAGACCAGGCCGACATCAGAGCACAACTCCATAGTCTCCCGAGACTGATGGATGCCTACTACTACTACTAGATAATAATAAATACAGTAGTCTAGAATTTTTGAACTGGTGTTCAGAAGACGGAATGTTGACCCAAATTACACACATGGGATTAATTTGGAGAGACACAACCATTCGTGTGCTGTCTTAACATGTTTGTATGTTATTCACTTTGAATATTTTTGAATGTGATAACCCATTAATTCTTTTAATAAAAAGGTTATCTACAAAGCAGATTTTTTAATTTCTGAAATCTCCAATGTGGAGAGAGAGAGAGAGAAACATAATTTTCTAGTTTGGAAGTCATTCAGGCATTTGGTAATACTGCACCTAGAGTAATTATTAAATATACAGTATTGCAAATTTACCTATTTATATATTTCAATAAAGTAATAAGATATAATCTTCATTCTTAACATAACTTCCTGCATGTAATTAAAGACTTAAAAAAAATTAACCTTGATAGTGTTCTAAATTAATATTTATGTAATATATTCTGTGCTAATTATATCATCCTCCTTTAAGAAGTATTGATACATACGCTTTCCATGCAGGTATGTGTCGTATATATTAACATTTCTACTTTTATTTTGTTCAGATTTTGTCTCAAGTGGGGCAAGTACTTCAACTTCTAAACTTATATGCTATGTGATTTGTAGCCAGTAAAGTATAAAGTACTTTATACTTAACTGGCTAATACAGTTTTATACACTAAATCCCGAGTGAAATTAAAAAAAAAAGTACTTACTAAAACCAGAGAAAAAATTCAGAAAAATGAAAGGCTGGTTTATGTACATATGTATACATTCATGTTCCTATGCACACACACACACACATGCACAACAGAGATTTTACAGGAAAGAGATGGTTGGGTTGACTGCATTTCTCTGGACCTAAAAAAGGCTTTTGACACAATCCCACAAAAAAGGTTGTTCTGGAAGCTGGAACATGCTGGAGGAGTGACAGGTAGACTTCTGACATGCATGAACAAATTTTTCAACAAAAACGAGGGCAGTAATCAGAGGCAATGTGTCCAATGTATCGAACTGGAGGAGTGTTACTAGAGGAGTGCCACAGGGTTCAGTTCCTGCGGCAGTAATGTTCACCGCCTACACAAATGATCTACCAGAAGGAACACAGAATTATATGAACATGTTTGCTGATGATATTAAGCTACTGGGAAGATAGGAAACCAAGACAATTGTCATGCTCTTCAAATGGACCTAGATAAAATAAGTGCTTGCAGCAGCACCATGTGGCAAATGGAATTCAGAGTGAATAAATGCTATGTTGACCAAACCACACACTAAAAAGTGAAGGGACGATGACCTTTCGGTCCGTCCTGGACCATTTTCAAGTCGATTGAGAATGTCATAGATCATAGATCAGCTAATTAACTAGCTGATCTACGACTGGTATTCTTTACTAGTTGATCAACTATATGCAATCTTAATTATGGCTGGTTGCTAGAGACAATTAATTGATCAAAGTCTTTTGAAGATAGAGAGAGAACCAAATTTAACATTATCAGTCAACTGGTTTTCTTAGAACTATGGTAATAAATGCTAATGGCTATTAGTAATACATGTTTATTTAATTTACAAAATTATTATTGAATTTTAATCATATATTTAAATATCTCGAGATCTTACACATAAAAGCATTAACCTCAGCAAAATTATTTCAAGATTTTTTAATAAACTTTTATACACATTATATTGATCTTAAATAGTTACAAAACAGCAATGAGACACCCCTAATCATTATTCAAATGGTATTTAAAAAGTCACTATCTAGAGATTATCTTGAGATGATTTCGGGGCTTAGCATCCCTGTGACCCGGTCCTCAACCAGGCCTCCTTTTTATTACACATCCCCAGGAAGCAGCCGGTAGCAGCTGTCCGACTCCCAGATACCTATTTACTGCTAGGTGAACCGGGGCACCAGGGTGAAAGAAACTCTGTCCATTTGTTTCTGCCTCCACCGCAGATGGAACCTGGAATCTTAGGACTACGAATCCCGAGCGCTGTCCACTCAGCCGTCAGGTACTAAGATGCAAATACTCAAGCAATAATCAAAACCACTAAAAACTACACTGTGGACACACGAACAATGCATGACAGTCCACCTTAGAAACAACCAGCCGTGGAGTTTGGCCAAGTTTAAACAACGAAAAATCGAAACGATAACACAAGCAATCTTTGCAATCGACAACGGCTGCACAAGGCAATCTTTTGCAATCATTAACAATTGAACAATGCAATCTTTTGCAAACAACAATAGTTGCATGAAGCAATCATTTCTAACAGTTGAACAAAGCCATCTTTTGCAATCGACAACCACTGCAAGAAGCCATCTTTTGCAATCGACAACCACTGCAAGAAGTCACCTTTTGCAATCGACAACCACTGCAAGAAGCCATCTTTTGCAATCAACAACCACTGCAAGAAGCCATTGTTTGCAATCAACAACCACTGCAAGAAGCCATCGTTTACAATCAACAACAGTTGCACGAAGCAATACATGATAACCGATGTGGCTTACCTTGAGAGTGGCATCAAATAGTGAGAGCGAGCATATGTCCAGCCACCAACCACCTATGAGGGGAAACACACCAATCTCCACCACACTCAGCAGCGCCACTTTCACTACTACATAGCATAAGCCCAGCACTCGTTTCGATCTGTGAAATACAAAGTCATCTACTGTCAAGAAAATCAATTGCTCTCAAAACGGTTTCAGTCACTACTAACAACAATTAGCAGTGTTTATTGTAAATTCCTTACACCCACAATGTTGCCCACATACAATTATACATTAAGTACAGTCTATAATCACACTTGATGCAACATTTAGCCAGGCCACGGCTAAAAATGATAAAAAACAAATACTGTACATCAAACAACGTGCATTATAGTATAATATAAAGTATTAATCACCGATAAAATGAAAGAGTGAATACATAACACTACTGCTGAAATATAAGTGATTGTGAGGTCTGGTACACAACACAATAAACCCTGGCTTAACGCAGGGTTAATATCTAGTATCTCATCATGAATCTGATACTGGTACTCAAGCGTTTTTATGATTCAAGCCACGAAACATAATGGTAAGGAGAATTAAAATCAAAATTGTTATAATTCACAGCAAAACTATGTTTATACAAACTTCACACTTAAATACAACACCCAAGAGATTACTTAATGCTCACCTGTTTAGTCTTATTATTGCGGCCAATGTATGCAACAGAACAAGACACAAGCCGACAACACAGTAACCACACAGGGCCGTCAGCAGGCCCTCAAAGTGCGACGCCGATACCCAGCTCTTGAGTTTGAACCCGACTATTGTAAAATGGCCAATATGATATGGACAGAAAGCTGTGGAAAAAGAATAATTTACATTAATTTTAAATAGTATGGGGCATTATGTATGTGTTCTACATGCAGAGGAGGAGTCACAATAACGTGGCTGAAATATGTTGAAATATACGGAGCCAAGGAAGCAGGACAGGTTCAATAGTTCAATAGCCAATGGAAGGAAGTCAAAGGCATAAGCAGGAAGGCATAGAAAAAATACTTGGGAGATACAAGCTAGAAGTGAAGAGAGAAAGGAGCAGAACAGGAAACAAATGTGTGCACAGGTGTGAGGCTTACCAAGAGAAGCGAAGAACTAACACTGAATATGTATGTAGATACTATGTAGAGAGCTAACACTGAATGGTAGGATACTATTGTAGAGAGCTAACACTGAATGGTAGGACACTGACAAGTTAATATTGAATGATAGGAATGTATTCCATTTTCCCATATGATCTTTATCAAGTTTCAATGCTGATCAAAAAATCATGAGGTGTCTGAGAACGCATCCCCATAACAGACCAAAATTCTCTTATAATGAATAAACTTTATATTAAAAAACTAGTCAGACTAAAATTACTAGTCAAGATGAGAACATTTATCTGCAAACTTTAGATATATCACCCTATTGTTCACATAAATCCTAATGATATTCCACTTGTGAAAATTCTAATCAAACTTCAAGCACATTAAATATCAAAATGTATAATCTTAGCCAAAGGATTGCAAAAAATTATAAATATGTAAGGCTGTTATTAAAAAGCAAACACTTAAGAGGTTTAAACAATTACTGTACTTGCACATACAGTATTATAATTATATTCAATAAAATCACAATAATGTGATTGTGAGAAAATCTTCGGAACATGATGATGGAATCGAGCCAGAATCCTGGGTATAGCGTGCATCTGGAGTGACCTAGGAAACCCGGTCGATTCCACCGCCCTGCTCCAAAAATTCTCTCATATTCAAAGGTATTACTTACAGAAGACTAAATCTAGAGCCCTTACCAAACACAAGAATAAACATCGTGTTCAAAGACACGACCCAAAATACGTGTTCCAGAAAAACAAGTGACCCATCGAGGCCTAAGAGTCGCTCCCATGTAAGCTCTTCAGCCGCTCGGTCCCATTCTATAGGGTTCCAGTTGAGATCGTCTGCTGCAGCCCCAGGGTCCAAATTATTATTGGCTGGCACACCTTCATGTAAAAGTTCACCTTCATTACCTAAAAAAAATTACATTATTTTACTGCTAGCTCTTTAAAATCATATTACAATTCATGTTACATATTACAAAAACTGTTTTTGTAATATGTAATTCTCTTAAAGTGAAAACTAAAGGAAATTTTGAATAGTTGAGAAGTGAGAGAATTAGGGGCATTATAATTACAATAAAACGGAAAATAGCTTGAAGTGCATGCATGATACATCCCACATCATCATCCAGGAAACAAAACAGTCTATGACAGTGGTTTTAACTAGGGCTACCTGTAGGCCTATCAGGAGGACCCAACATTGAATGGCTGTATAAAGATCAAACTGACTAACCTTCTGCCATATTTGGAATAACTGGTACAGGTGCTATTTCTTGATGAGCTGGGTGCTCAATAATCTCGGCATTATTATTGGCTGCTTCAATAGGAGCTGCAGCATTCTCATTAGCAGGCTGTACTGGAACCTGGCCATTTCCTTGATTTAACAGCCCAAAGTTTCCAGGGGGCTCATGCTGCAAAGAAAAAAAAAGTTACTGTAAATGTCAGATCTACTCCTAATCTAACATTTAAATTACCTATCAGAATTCTGTAACACTGATTGCAGAATTGTGATAATTCTGCAAATTACCTAACTGTGATTGCATTAATATGATACCATTAATATGGTATCATATTAATCTCATTATCTAAAGTACCCAACCTTGAAGTTGCGTTGAGATCTCGTTGCGGAGTTGTGTTCTCGTGGACTGATCTCTGACCAGCCTCCCTGGTTGAAGGTCTGGTCAACTATGCTGTTAGATGCTGCTGCTCACATTCTCACATATGAATTAGAGCTCAATTGATCAGACATCTATCATTCTCAATTCAGTCATTATAAGGAATTTCATACACCTTATAAATTATAAAACGAGGAGCCATTCACTGCTTCAAACCACTCTTGATTCACTCTCAGGTCCAGTAAACTCTTTTCTTGCTCCTCTCATTTTCTTTTACTCCTGTTCTTACAATATTTTGACCCCAAAAAATTTGGATTGACACTACATATAGTAATCAAAATCTAATTATTTTGGTCTATTTGATTTTTAATACGTTTTTCATCATAACATTCACTTAATTATCCTAATGTCAATATTTTACAAGACAGTGTGAAACTTTACTACTTATGTAGTACTGTACAAAGTGTCACCAGCTTTTTTATCACTTACCTCATGCTGCACATCTTGATCAAGCCAGTCAGGCCCTCCTCCGTGGAGAATTTGTTCTCGGAGCCACACCAGGCTGATGAAAGCACTTAGTGTGCAGGTCACCACAAAGCACCCGTGGAAGATATCCGATACCAAGTTATCTCTAATGGGGCAAAAACAAAATCTATGATTATTACTGAAAATGATCATATTAAAAAAATATAGAATAGAGAGATAGTGCTAAGCCAGTATGAGTATACAGTACTTGGAACTTGAGGATGGAGGGAAGGAATGGTGCCCAATCACTTGGACCGTTGGGGATAGAGCATCAACCTGCAAGAAGTGAGGCGTCGCTGCACCATCCAGTCCAAGTGATTGGGTACCAAGTTTCCAAGCAAAAATAAGAAATTGCTGAAAGAATGACTAGTTATCAAGATTTACTACAACATTGGGAATATCAAAATATTATACTTTCCATAATTTGTCACATCACAAAACAAAACATCAACACGAGGCAAAGTGCACAGCTATTACTTACGTTGATAGCATGTCAAGTGGTAAGGTTAGAACAGAAGACACTGAGCCTGTGAAGAGGCAGCGATAGATCCTGCAAGCTGTGAGGGGAACAACTCCCAACCAGGCCACAGCCACAAGCGTGTAGTGCAACCAGTATCTCACTGCTGTTCCCATACTCCGAGCCAAGCCAGATAAGATGTCTGCTATGGGCAGCCTCTTTGGCATGTCTGGAGAGTATACTGAGAGATATACAAGCATAAATATGTTGAAATTACTGATAATGAAACATACGAATCAAAAATAATAATTTTTATTAAATATATTGAAATTACTGATAATGAAACATATGACTCAAAAACACTCATTTTCATTTTTATGAAAGCTTTTAAAAAGTAATGATGATACCCTTCAGACTTGTGCCCTAAATTCCAGTACTGTGCTATATATGTATTTTTACTGCACTGTATTTGGATTACATTCTTACAATTAAGGTACAGAATCTTCCAGGTACTGCATTATGTAATTCCTGCTGCACCCTTGTGTCTCTCTCCATAAAGTAATACTGTACAAGCTAATGCAGCAATTACTCTCATCTACTCAATGGTGTGTGGGTGGAAATGAGATTAACCATAGCTGGTTGTGGATAGTTTTAGCCCAGGATAAAAATCAGCATCAGCTACTTCCTTGCACTAGACGTATGCAAACAATGCCATCCTAAGTAAAAAAAAAAATGCCATTCTAAGTAAAAATTAATGCCAGTACTATTACTGTACATAATCTTTCTCTTGTATACTCTCTCTCTCACACCATCGCCATATAGACATTGGTAGTAAGTAATACTAGAGTTACAAATACTTACTTGGTGTAAAGTGAAAGCGGTGTTTGCAGAGTTCGCAGTATTCTTTCCGTGAGTACCGGAGCCATTGTACTAGGCAATCTTGATGGATGAATTTGATGCTACCAGTACAGATGCAAGGGTGGAAGAGTGGGCGGTCACTGGTACCTTCACACCGGCATACACGACATATGTCTGCAAGAAAATGAATCAATAGGAAGATGGTATAATGTTATTTATTACAAAATAAGCTTAGAAACAAATATTTATTTAACTTGGGTCATATAATTTATCCCTTTCTAATATTCAATTTGTGGTTATTAAATTTAAGCTGCTTGTAATATTAAGTTATGATTGAAAATATGAATTTTGCCCTTTGAAAATATTTTAATAATTGCATAATACTCATCTAAGACATTTAGCCAGTTTTCAGCCATGAGGCTTTAGGTTAGATTTTACTGTCCCGAGCTTAGCTTGGATACCATCAGTGATGGAAATGAGGGGGTACATGGGTTTATGGAGTATACCTACTTCTCAATTTCGAATTTTTTTTATGCTTGATTTTGATGTTTGTTACATCATAACTTTAACATTAACATTAACATTTAACATTAACATAACATTACAACATAACTTGCACAATCACTTACAATTATGAGTTTAAGTGCCTCATGGAAACAAGACTTATCACCAGTTCAAATTTATAATGCTGATGAAATGGGCGTACCAAAAAAATTACAACATACTCTTTGTTTCATGACAATAATGATCATACTACTAACTACATGCTCAATAAAGACAGATTAAGAGTGCTGTGCTGTGCTTTGTATCCAGTTATTTGGACTATATTTCCTACTAGGAAATGTATTTTAAAACCAATCTAACTGAACTCAACCCAACCAAACCCACTTGACTGTACCCATTTGAACCTACGATGAGAATAGAGCAGTATTGAATCCCGACTCGGAGAATACACAGCACCTTTCACAAGTGTAGAACTTGGAGACTTGAACACTGAACTCTTTCCCAACGTAAACAGTATTAATATGTTACAGAAAAGATACAGGATACAGAAAGAACAAAATTTCAGAGTGAGTGCTACCTGACATTTCCAGTTGCCACATCCAATCCTGTATTGTGTCCATGTTTACTCCAATTCAATTCTTCAATATTGTGGAGAACAGACCCACCAGCGGATCTAAACACTCACGACAGAGTCAGGTTAGGATGAGCAAGGCTCCACTAAGATACGTTTTGACTCCATTACATCATATTAAGATATGTTAGGTTACAATAATGATTTCAAGTTAGGTTCAAGTTTGAGACCTGTCCAGATGGGGTACAGTCCAATCCCACACAGGAGTTTCAACCTAAGTTTTCCATTCTTAAAACCAATTAGCTTAGATTTACTTGGGTAGATTTGATTGGATAGGGTTTACAACCCCCGCTGGAGAACTGTATATTGAATACAAAATGGATTTTATCCACCAAGACACCCCTGAGAGCCTTAGGCCTAGTTATGAGCCCGTATATATTAGCAGCAATACCATACACATATCCACACTTAGCATACAGTAAACCATTTAACCTCACCGACACTTCCACGTATACATTAACCCATAACATCATACAAGAGACAAGTGGCACCATAATATTCAACACGGAAAAAAAACTGGTAATAGTTGGAAGGGGCTCAAGGTTGCCTGACCCGAGAGCCCATTATGGGGGGAAACTGGGGGGTGTAATTATCTCCCACGGGGTCTTCAGTCCCACGTAAGTCACCCTGGGTGATTGTTCCCTCCTCCCGGGCCTCCGTCAGCACGCCCTGGCAGGGGTAAAGCTGTACCTTGATTTTGAGAGTCCTCCTCCATTTTCGTCTTGTCGTCAACAACAACCAAGTGAGCATCGGGGCTCAGCTGCCTGCTCCCTCCCTCCCTCTCACTCCCACTCTCTCACTCCCTCTCTCCCCCTTCTCTCTCTCCCCCTTCTCTCTCACTCCCTCTCTCCCTTCTCTCACTCCCTCCCCTTTCTCTCTCTCTCTCTCACTTCCTCCCTCCCTCTCTCTCTCCCCCACTCCCTCTCTCTCTCTCTCCCTTCTCTCATTCCCTAACTCTCTCTCTCACCCCCTCCCTCCCTCCCTTTCACTCAAAGGTACATTAATGAACTATGTAAAAAGATACCTCGAACACTATATATGTAGGACAGACGTAAACCTGTGTATGTAGGTTAGATTAGCATTTTAAAAGCACTACAATCACCTTCTGTAGTTGATTGTTCAATAACTCACTGAATTATATGTTTAACAGATCTCTAACCTTGTCCATTGAGGACAGAAGAAATGTATATGTCCTGGTTAGCATTGCAAGTGCTCGTTTTTTGGCCTAAAAAATAAAAAAAGTAAAAAATAAAAAACGTCTTTCCCTACCCTATTCCATTCCTTCACACTATCAAATCCCCAGGCCTCTGTAACCCTTTCCACTATCACTCACAGGATGGGTATCGGGTGCATAATAAATGAACTAAACTAAACTATCAGATCCATTCATTCTCTCTCTCTCTCTCTCTCTCTCTCTCTCTCTCTCTCTCTCTCTCTCTCTCTCTCTCTCTCTCTCTCTCTCTCTCTCTCTCTCTCTCTCTCTCTCTCTCTCTCTCTCTCTCTCTCTCTCTCTCTCTCTCTCTCTCTCTCTCTCTCTCTCTCTCTCTCTCTCTCTCTCTCTCTCTCTCTCTCTCTCTCTCTCTCTCTCTCTCTCTCTCTCTCTCTCTCTCTCTCTCTCTCTCTGTCTCTGTCTCTCTCTCTCTCTCTCTCTCTCTCTCTCTGTCTCTCTCTCTCTCTCTCTCTCTCTCTCTCTCTCTCTCTCTCTCTCTCTCTCTCTCTCTCTCTCTCTCTCTCTCTCTCTCTCTCTCTCTCTCTCTCTCTCTCTCTCTTTTGTGAAATATAGGGACGTCCCTATATTTTGTGAAATATAAGGACACTCGCTTACACTGGCGAGCGTTCTTATTATGAATCCAAGATTACGTATATTACAGAGCCGAAATCACATCTTTATTTATTTTATTGGTTTTTATTTATTTACATAAACAAAACTTCTTACATTCTTGTAGAGCAGGTACTTATTTACTGATAGGTGAATAGGCGCATCAGGGTGAAACAAACTCTGCCCATTTGTTTCCGCCAACACCAGCAGGGATCTCTGAACTTCATTTAATAACTATATGCCTTCTAAATTGAAGAATTTAGCTGATAATAGCATTATATTGCGGTTTTTAATATTGCCTAGAATTTGTATAAAAAATATGTGTGAGATCCGTCTTGTCTCCTCCTAGAACAGTTGGCCTCGTTCGCGACTCACAATCCGGAATCCTGGGCTCGACAAACCCGAATTATTATGATAAAGGCTTTCATATATAAGTTTGTTATTCTTCTAACATGTCAAACATTTACTTTTGTTAAGATATTTAGGTAAAATGCAACATTTGTTACTTGAACGTTCATTATTCCGTAATTGACTGCGCGTCGTCGGAATTATTTAATATGTGTTGCGCTGTTCCTCAGTTTGTCCTGAACATTGTTGGAGAGTTTTGCGTACCGCAGTGCCGGCCACACACTCTAGGACCACTGCTGTGGGTGCTGTACACTCTAGGACCACTGCTGTGGGTGCTGTACACTCGAGGACCACTGCTGTGGGTGCTGTACACTCTAGGACCACTGCTGTGGGTGCTGTACACTCTAGGACCACTGCTGTGGGTGCTGTACACTCTAGGACCACTGCTGTGGGTGTTGTACACTCTAGAACCACTGCTGTGGGTGCTGTACACTCTAGGACCACTGCTGTGGGTGCTGTACACTCTAGGACCACTGCTGTGGGTGCTGTACACTCTAGGACCACTGCTGTGGGTGTTGTACACTCTAGGACCACTGCTGTGGGTGCTGTACACTCTAGGACCACTGCTGTGGGTGCTGTACACTCTAGGACCACTGCTGTGGGTGCTGTACACTCTAGGACCACTGCTGTGGGTGCTGTACACTCTAGGACCACTGCTGTGGGTGCTGTACACTCTAGGACCACTGCTGTGGGTGCTGTACACTCTAGGACCACTGCTGTGGGTGCTGTACACTCTAGGACCACTGCTGTGGGTGTTGTACACTCTAGGACCACTGCTGTGGGTGTTGTACACTCTAGGACCACTGCTGTGGGTGCTGTACACTCTAGGACCACTGCTGTGGGTGCTGTACACTCTAGGACCACTGCTGTGGGTGCTGTACACTCTAGGACCACTGCTGTGGGTGTTATACACTCTAGGACCACTGCTGTGGGTGCTGTACACTCTAGGACCACTGGTGTGGGTGCTGTACACTCTAGGACCACTGGTGTGGGTGCTGTACACTCTAGGACCACTGCTGTGGGTGCTGTACACTCTAGGACCACTGCTGTGGGTGCTGTACACTCTAGGACCACTGCTGTGGGTGCTATACCTGAGGGCCAATATATCTCTCTAGTGGCCTCGACAAGGACAGGAAGCTGACGGCTTGTCAAAGATCCCCCCATTTGTCCTGTGGATTTTATCTAGCAACGTTCTAGCATCGATGGCTTCGGCGGGTAGGCGGTTCCATGGGTTTACTGTGTAACCATATAGGTGAAAAAACATTTCCTGTTTTCTGACCGGAATTGATGCTTGTTGCACTTGAAACTGTTGCTCCTTGTTCGTGTTAAATCTGACTCTTTTTAAAAAAGTTCTGTGAATCAATATCCTCCAAACTTCAATATTTTAAAAGTTTTGATGACATCCTTCCTGTCATGCTTCACTCACGTACTACAAATAATCGCCCACAGCCTGAACACCTAACCAGTGCCTAAATATGAACAGTAGGCTAATATACTGTATAACAATATTAATTTATATTTGAGGAAGTTCCTGTTTTGAATGAACTGCACATTAAAATTGATGAATGCGTCTTTGGGGTCGACCACTGGATGGAATGGACCTGGTCTGAGGATGGGTTGCCTCGTCTGTTGTTTCCATCCTGAATGTCCATGGGTGTTTGTATTTAAGACTCTAGGAATTTTTTACTTGGGCCTAACATTGTGTACAGAATTTACATCATCTTGTACTGTACTGCATCTTGAGGTTATCTTGAGATGATTTCAGGGCTTAGCGTCCCCGCGGCCCGGTCCTCGACCAGGCCTCCTTTTTTTGTTATTCCCCCCCTCCCTCAGGAAGCAGCCCGTAGCATCTGTCTAACTCCCAGGTAGCTATTTACTGCTAGGTAACAGGGGCATTAGGGTGAAAGAAACTGTTTGCCCATTTGTCTCCGCCTCCACCGGGGATCGAGCTCGGAACCTCAGGACTACGAATCCGAAACGCTGTCCACTCAGCTGTCAGGCGCCCTTTCCCTTTAAGTTCTTTCAATGCATATTTGAAAGTACTTAAGAGTGGTGATAAAACTTTTAATAGTGAAACTGTGCTTATAAATTTTTAAGCCACCTTTTTGACCATCCAGCATATAATGTTATAATTTCCTTTCAGGTAACACAAATATAGATGGTATTGATGAACTTCACAACTTCACAACAACATGGAAATGAATTTTAGAAACAAAATTGTTTTAGCTGATATTCATCATTATTATATATACTGAACTCCTTTTGTGGCAGTACAGCAATTGATGTTTTAAAGTTTATTAAGAGCACTTACATTTCTTTACAACTAGCTGGTCAAAAGCAATTGAAAGTTTGTTGAACTTACTTTGTCTTAAATTTCATAATGGGAATGTTTGATAAATTAGCTTTTGCTCTTGGCTTGAAGAAGAGAGAAGCAAGTGTACTGGTTATCGGCCTTGATAACTCTGGCAAGTCTACTATGCTTAATCATTTCAAATCTGACGATCAGAAGAGCACAGAAATTGTGCCAACAGTGGGCTTCAATGTTGAGAAATTTAAAGGTGAGATTTTATTTATTTAATTTTATTTATGAGTGTAGCTTGATATTAGCAGACAGTTTTTATATCAAAATCAAAAGTGGAAAAAATTTCAGCATGTGTATTGATGCACATCAGCATCTCGGAAGAATCTCTCAGTATTTTACAGTATGTAAATGTACAGTGTAAGCAAATAGCAGTTGATTTGTCTGGTTGATTTTCTCAGCATGCAAACATTATTAATTCAATACTTTTAAATATGTTGCAACAGCTTCAAGCTTTATGTTGTGATTGAATGCTACAACTTGCTCCTAAAATTGTGACTTTTATTCCTTGCATGGGATTGGCAAGTATGTGCGTGCAAAAGCAAATACAGTAGCAATTTGTCGGGAGTATAAAAGGCATAAGTGAGTATTTAAAAACATTAAAAATATTTCTTCAGTAGTCACATAGTGTACAAGTGAGAAAATAGAATACAAAAATACAATAGTATGTGTGGGTGGTTGATATAGTTAAATGCTGTACTATTGGATTTATCATACAATAAATAAATACTGTATAGAGTACTGTACAAGTGATGCCATTCCTCCTGATACAGTGGATGGTCTATGTATAAATTTTATGTAATCAAAAATTGTCACCATTAAAATGTTCTTCACTTGCTGTAATTATACCTGTATTTAGTTTTGTTTTCCCCATTAACTATTATTGAAGACATTTCTGGGCAGGACCCCCTTGGTAGTCATACGTAGCTCTAGTACCACTAAGCTTAGCCCAACACACCAAGCCTTTGCTACTGGATCTCAGTTCACCTGGAGTTTCTGGTCTGTGTGTCTGGTGGTTGGTGTCTGGCGCACTAGCACCTGGAACAGAAATCTGGACCCAAGAGTGCCAGAACATCCAGTTCTTCTATACACTTGCCTCCTGGCCCCTCTCTCTCTCCAGATGTCTTTTGGTTTCAGCAAAGTTGTGTTCTGTTCTTGCTACTTTGCTACTTTAGTGGCTTTTCTGGTATTTTATTCATCTGCTATATTCAGGCTTGGTGCTTGATTTGGGAAGTCCACCTGGGTGTTGGCCTTGAGCACTATTTTGGGTGTCACTCAAGCTTGTTGTGCTTCAGCGTTTTGCATGTTGCTGGTGGCCGCCCGCACTTCAGGCCCTTGTCTTTTCCTGCCTTCTCCAACAGGCTTTTCCATTTCCACATTTTTGTTTTTTCCAGAAATGACAACGTCTTTTACTGAAGAACTTTTTTTTTATTTAGCTCAGGGAGGGATTGCATTTGAACAACTCACGAGTGAGGGGGGGGGGGGGCAGGCTGACTGGAGCACCAGGTGGTGTGGACTGCCATCTGGTAACAGTAAGACACATCATTTTTAGAGTATTTATCCTGCAGCAATGATGATTTGCATGTTACCTGAGGGTGCCAAAGTTTCTTCAACATATACTTGTTTTGCTGCACCGGTGCTTTCTGGTAGGTTTTTGTTCCTTAGTTTTGGGTTGAACTCTTATCCCCAAGCTCCCCCTCACCTTGTAGAGAGCTAAATTCTGGTCTAGACTCCTAGGTTGCAAGGGTGGGCTGGCTTGTTGCATCTAAAGCATGGCCCCACCAGAAAGGGGATTTTTATTACATTTAATTTCATTTCATTACATCTCCCACAAAAGATAAACATTGGAGCTTTTATATTACTGATAGGCTTTTAAATCAGTTAACTGTATTTGCATGGCTTAGAAACTTCTTTGGAAATCAAATATGGTGTACATGATTGCTGATACAAATTAGCAACCCTGGATGTAAAATGCTTTCAATATATAGCTTACTATAAGATACCTTTATGTAAATTTGTTATTTATCTTTTCAGCAAAGAATGTGGGATTCACTGCTTTTGACATGTCAGGCCAGGGTCGATACCGAAGCTTGTGGGAGCATTACTACCATGACTGTCAAGGAGTTATCTTTGTGGTAGATTCCAGCGATAAACTGCGGCTAGTTGTAGCCAAAGATGAGCTGGACATGTTATTACAACATGCTGAGGTATTAACTCTCATAACTTTAGGTTTTTAAAATTTTTTAAAGTACTGTATTGACAAGTATTTAAAATAAAGTGATTGTTTAAAAATTATTTGGTTGTTCTTTGTGTAACTGTACAGTACAGTATAATGTAGGTGTTATTGCTTATACATTATTAAAATATTTAACTGATGTAAAATCAGACACCAATCCACAAATCTGAAAATAAATGAATTGACACTGTTTCATTGTCCCGATGGTGCTACATGGCCTTCCTGGTTTGGTGCCGTCTTTTGATAATTACCTTACCTCATTCCGTCCCGACCATTATTAAGTCATGTAATGGAAAAGGACCTAAAGGATTGACAGAAACATTATCAGTTTTTATTTTCAGACTTGTTGGTTGGGTGTCTGATTTTCAGTCACATTGTGATATTGTCTGCACAATGTAAAATTGCAAATTCAAATATACATAAATTTTGTTTTCCATTTAAAATCAATTAGATTATTTCATGACATGTTGGAAAACCTATATACAGTACTGTATAAATTGAAAAGATATATTTATCTATAAATGGACTCCATTTATAGATACAATACCTATAAAGATGCTAACTAAAGTATGTTGGTGGTTAAAATTTCAGCCTAGTTCAAGGGATTGTCACTGTGGATTGGTGGCTGCCTAAGTTGCTATATATTATTACCTTTATTACCTCAATTACTTAATTTAGGAAAGTCTGGGATCGAGTTTACTTTCTGACAAAATGATTATTTAACAAAACAAGGAACAGATTGAAAGAATGTGATCCACTTAGTAAACAAGGCAAATAATTGCTGCCATGGGAAAACCAGCCTAGTTGATTTATGACAGCAACCAGGTAGCAGTCCAAATCATCCGTGTTCCCAGTTGGCTGACCTTTTTTCTTCCGTCATTCAGGAGCCACCTGCGACAAACTGCCTCAACCCCCCACTGGGGAGAAGCGAACAGGGCAGGATGCCCTTTTCTGGTGGGAACCCACCACAAAAAAAGGGCATTTCATCACATTCAATGCTTGATTTCTGGGAGGGGCCCCCTAAGTAGCTTCGCAAATTATTCAATAGATGACCACTGCACTGATATTGAAGACAAGATGGGGAAAGAATAGAGACCAGGAAGGAGGAAGGAAGGAAAGCAAGAAAGGCATAATTTGAATTCAGTATTTCAATATATTTTAGTATATTATTTGTATCGCCAAATTTGTTGACAGGAAATCATGGGTACCGTGCTCAGTTTCTGTCATGTGATTAACTATGCCTATTTGATTTTGCATTTTACTGTACTTTCAACTAATGAAGTAAAATTCATCTTCCAGATTCGCAATCGCCGTATCCCCATTTTATTTTTTGCAAACAAAATGGACATGCGTGAGGCAGTGAGCAGCGTTAAGGTATCAGCAGCTCTAGGTTTAGAGCGAATTACAGACAAGCCTTGGCATATTACAGCTTCAAATGCCGTCACAGGAGATGGTCTACATGAAGGAGTGGAATGGCTCACCAATCAGATTAAAGAAAACTTTGAAAATATAAATAAGCGATAATTTTCAAAGAATTTGTTGGTCCTTATACTGGTAAGAAATTATAAACTATTACATTACCAATAGTAAAGTTTCATAATCTGACCCATCATAAAATAATTTAATAGCCCTGCTTTTTCAAATATTCTTGGTTCCAGGCTTAAAACTGCAAGTATTAGCATTATGTTTAAGAAAAAATACAATATAGGTAAAGGTAAAGAGAAGCTAGCCAATATGCACTCACACATTCAAGCAATTTTATCCCATAATGTGCTTGGCTAATTCCTTCCATTGTAGCTTATTTTACCTAGCCTATATATTGTGCCTAACTTGGTACAGTATTGCTACAATAGTGCAGAAATATTAGACAAGAATATATACAGGAAAGTAGATTTCTTGTGCTTGCAGTGACCAAGGCCATGTTCCTTGCTAACAAAATGTGAGAATTTTCCGTCCTTTAAAGGTTAAGCAGAAAGCTAAATATATTTTTATCGTTTATTTACATAGTTTGGGGAGTTCTATGACTGAAATGTCGTCTTTTCTTCATCTTCTGGCGTGTGGTTTGGTGGTCATATCTTCAGCCATGTTAATGTGACTCATTGTCTGCATCAGCATACAACAATGGCAAAGAAAAGATGATATTTAATTGTACAGTAAAAAGGAACCTCGGGTGACGAGCAGCCCCATCTACGAGCATTTCAGGTAACGAGCAAGCCACTCAAAAAATTTGTATCGATTGACTAGCTTCCACTCGGTTGATGAGAAAATTACATGGTGCTTCCTAGCGTTCCTGCTGGTTCTCGCAAATTCTCGGATGCCTCAGACAACAGTATTGTTATTTTATCGTTCAGGATAAGCACCCCTCTGCATTTATTTATGCCTTTCTTTGTGGTTTTGTGATTACAATTTGTAACTCACGATGTCACCAAAAATAGTGTTGTCAAGAGGAAGAAAGACACTGTAGATTTGAAGAAGGAACTCATAGCAAAGCACAAGCGTGGTGTTGTGACTGATCTTGCCAGGAAGTATGGCAGGTCCTCATCAACAATCTGCATCATCTTGAAGAGGAAGGAAGAATTTAAGAAGCTTGATGTGGCTAAAGGAGTTACCAAGCAACATCCAAATCCTATATGATAAAAAACTACTGTTGGTCTGGATGAGTGAAACGCAATTATGTGGTGATATAGCACAAACAATAGCTCTGAAGCTATTGTGCTATAAAATTTCATACTGATGTTTTTCTGGGGTGGAACAGATTGTCTTTCCATTAATATTTTAAATGGGGATATTTGTTTTGCAAGATGAGCATTTCACATGAGCTCGGTGATGGAACGGATTAAATTCATTAACCGAGGTTCCTTTGTACAGTATTTACATTGAGAGATTACTTTGATAAGGATTTTTTTAGCATTATGTCAAAGTGATCAAACTATTTATCAGATTTATTTGTTTTGAGTAATATTAGATGTTAGAAGCCAAAAACATTATTCAATTTTAATAAATATTAAAAGACGTGCAATTACAGTAGATGCATGCCTATTTTAATGCCATTCTGTATGTTGCTGATCTGTTATAGCAGCATTTCCAGTTTCATTCCAGAGGTAAATCCTTGCCGAGGAAAATTACCTGGAGCTCAGAACATTGTTGGTGCTTGAAAATGCAATTGGCTACACTGTATTAAACAGCCTTCAACCAATGGATCATAATGTCATTTCAAACGTAAAGCTTTCCTCCATTAGGGAACAGATGGAGACTGGTGGTAAATATTAAATAAGCAGTTAGTCAAGGATTGGCAGAAGTCCTTTGACATTATGAATGGCATTAGAAATTATATTTTAAGCCCAGAAGGTAGAAACAGCCAACTGCATGAATAATAATTTTTTTTTTCCCCTACCACAGATGTGAAAATTCATTTACAGTGGTAACCAGCATATACTGTAAACATTTTCTTGTGTCCTTCATGGACAGGGTTAGAGGTCTGTTAGCCATATAGTCTAATGAAGTACTGTATTAAGCACTGGTGATTGAAGTGCTCTTACAAGGCTAACCAGCAAACATACATTCTTGTCTGTTCTACGTACAAGGTTAGAGAGCTGCTACAGTACATGAGTTATTGGTCAGAGGCATGTCATGATTACTTTTGGCAGTATTTCTGGTCAAATTATCGAAGGACATTACCTTTTCTTGATCCCCAAGATTTCAGCCTGGGGTTACTGGTAGACAGCACTAATTTTTAATATTATAATTTATATAACTGAACATAATTTAATGTATTTATTTTAGGTTTATTAGGTTTATTATTATCTAGATCCCAAGAAAGCATTCCCCAGTTTTAGGTGAGGTGATGTGTCTACTGTTTATACAGGCAGCCCTCAATTTGAGATGAGTTACATTCCTGCACAAATCATAAATCAAACTTCAAATGTGTTATGGAAAAATTAGTTAGGTTCCAGGTTCCTCCAAAAGACAAATTTTGTATCACTCTTTACTTAACACCCAATTAACAACCCTGTGCTAATATTGAATATTCCTTCACTTTCTAGCTACAAATTTAGCACACAGTGAAGTCCAGAATGCTTGGAGATTTGCAATAATGCATAAATATAACCACAAAGGTTTGTAAAACACAAGAATAAAAGCCCGACTTAAGGTCAAGGATAGAGCTGGTTGTCCCTATTGTAATTCATTCCCAGGTCGAGTAACTTCAAAATCCACCTGTGCGTGTTTGAAGCTGATGTAAAAAATGCTTAATTCCGAGTCTGCACATTAATTAAAATATTATGGATTTTTGGTGCATTATACAAATTAAAGGCAAATGAAGTCTCCTATTTATGCCTCATTATTAAACAAATATTTTAAAATAATTTGAGCCAAAACCAGTTTGGCAGCTTAGTCCTTAAAGCTTGACTGTGCTCTTAGTGATGAAACTCCCAAGGATAAGAATCTCTTCTAGTCAGTAAACAAAGTACAGTATACTTCTAGTCAGTAAACCAAGTTAAGCTGTACTTCATCAGTAAGCCAAGAGTATGTCTAGTCCCCACCCCCCCCCAAAAAAAAAAGGGACTGCACTTATCAGGGTCAATGTATTTAATTAGTAGTTTTGTAAAGCAAAATATTTGTTGCTTAATGCCCAGATACCTACAGTAAAATTTAAGTAGGATGTGTATTATCAATATAAACATGCAATGAAATTGCCCGTAAAAGATGTGCTGATGTAGGAAAAATTGCAATTCATGTGAAGATGAATATATTAGTAATTGCAATGTGTATTTGCCTAATGGTGTAATGAACTAATGGACCTGTGGCGGGCCAGAACCAACCATGTTTACCCTTCACTGAATAAAACTTCAGGATACACTAAAGGTGGTACCTGCTGCCCATCTTGCACTGCCCACAAATTAAGTTATAAAGCAAGTTACAGTTTGCAACTGGCAGGTACAGAATGCTGACCACGTATTAGTAAGAACTACTCTATCCATGTATACTTACTAATACATGATGTGTGTTCTGCTTTACAACTTAACTTGTGGGATAGCCGATGCAAGATGGGGCAGCAGATACCACCTTTAGTGTATTTTGATTGAGATTTTATTCGATGAAAGGTAAGCATGGTTAGTTATGGCCTGCCCTATGTCTTAGTTTACATTCCAAGATAATTAATACTGTGCATTTACCTAATGTATTGACCATCACATAAATTATGATTTTTTTCTCTATATCGACACGTCTCTTGCATTCATTTTCATTGTGTAATTTTTATTATACACTTAATGATTACTATTAAAATAAACTAAAAAATTTACCTACCACTTGTTTTATTGTTTTATATTATTAGACTTAAAATTCCAGAATGTATTTTTTATATTTTTGTAGATGCTTGACAACATACTGTTTACAGTGAGAAGAATTTACAGGCCTGCCTTATGCCTCCTTGTTCCAATTACTGTACATAAAAAGAGGATAATACAGTTACAGCAATGCCTATAATTGTTCACTTCCATGTCATCAAAATTTCGCTACTTTTTTCGCTACTTTTTAGCCCAAAATTTCGCTACTTTTGCTACTTTTTTCGCTACTTTTTAGCCCAAAATTTCGCTACTTTCGCTACTTTTTCGCTACTTTTGCTACTTTTTAGCCCAAAATTTCGCTACTTTTTTTGCTACTTTCGGTACTTTTTAGCCCAAAATTTCGCTACTTTCGCTACTTTTTTCGCTCTTTTTGCTACTTTTTAGCCCAAAATTTCGCTACTTTTTTCGCTACTTTTTAGCCCAAAATTTCGCTACTTTCGCTACTTTTTGCCCAAAATTGGGCTACTTTCGCTATTTTTTTAGCTCAAAATTGGGCTACTTTCGCTACTTTTTAGCCCAAAATTGGGCTACTTTCGCCACTTTTTAGCCCAAAATTTTGCTACTTTCGCTACTTTTTATCCCAAAATTTCGCTACTTTCGTTACTTTTTCGCTACTTTTGCTACTTTCGCTACTTTTTAGCCCAAAATTTCGCTACTTTTGCTACTTTTTAGCCCAAAATTTCGCTACTTTTGCTACTTTTTAGCCCAAAATTTCGCTACTTTCGCTACTTTTTAGCCCAAAATTTCGCTACTTTTAGCCAAAAATTTCGCTACTTTTTTCCCTACTTTCGCTACTTTTTAGCCCAAATTTTCGCTACTTTCGCTACTTTTTAGCCCAAAATTTTGCTACTTTTGCTACTCTTTAACCCAAAATTTCGCTACTTTCGCAACTTTTTTCGCTACTTTCGGTACTTTTTAGCCCAAAATTTCGCTACTTTTTAGGCCAAAATTTCGCTACTTTCGCTACTTTTTAGCCCAAAATTTCGCTACTTTTTAGCCCAAAATTTCGCTACTTTTAGCCCAAAATTTCGCTACTTTTTAGCCCAAAATTTCGATACTTTCGCTACTTTTTAGCCCAAAATTCCGCTACTTTTTAGCCCAAAATTTCGCTACTTTTGCTACTTTTCAGCCCAAAATTTCGCTACTTTCGCTACTTTTTAGCCCAAAATTTCGCTACTTTTGCTACTTTTTAGCCCAAAATTTCGCTACTTTTTTTGCTACTTTCGGTACTTTTTAGCCCAAAATTTCGCTACTTTCGCTACTTTTTTAGCTCTTTTTGCTACTTTTTAGCCCAAAATTTCGGTACTTTTTTCGCTACTTTTTGCCCAAAATTGGGCTACTTTCGCTACTATTTTAGCTCAAAATTGGGCTACTTTCGCTACTTTTTAGCCCAAAATTGGGCTACTTTCGCTACTTTTTAGCCCAAAATTTCGCTACTTTTTAGCCCAAAATTTCGCTACTTTTTATCCCAAAATTTCGCAACTTTTTAGCCCAAAATTTCGCTACTTTCGGTACTTTTTAGCCCAAAATTTCGCTACTTTCGCTACTTTTTAGCCCATAATTTCGCTATTTTTTTCGCTACTTTTTAGCAAAAAATTTTGCTACTTTCGCTACTTTTTAGCCCAAAATTTTGCTACTTTTGCTACTTTTTAGCCCAAAATTTCGCTACTTTCGCAACTTTTTTCGGTACTTTTTAGCCCAAAATTTCGCTACTTTCGCTACTTTTTAGGCCAAAATTTCGCTACTTTTTAGTTCAAAATTTCGCTACTTTTGCTACTTTTTAGCCCAAAATTTTGCTACTTTTGCTACTTTTTAGCCCAAAATTTCGCTACTTTTTAGCCCAAAATTTCGCTACTTTTAGCCCAAAATTTTGCTACTTTTTAGCCCAAAATTTCGCTACTTTCGCTACTTTTTAGCCCAAAATTTCGCTACTTTTTAGCCCTACTTTCGCTACTTTTTAGCCCAAAATTGGGCTACTTTCGCTACTTTTTAGCCCAAAATTTCGCTACTTTCGCTACTTTTTAGCCCAAAATTTCGCTACTTTTTATCCCAAAATTTCGCTACTTCTTTCGCTACTTTTTAGCCCAAAATTTCGCTACTTTTGCTACTTTTTAGCCCAAAATTTCGCTACTTTCGCTACTTTTTAGCCCAAAATTTCGCTACTTTTTTTGCTACTTTTTAGCCCAAAATTTCGCTACTTTTAGCCCAAAATTTCGCTACTTTTTAGCCCAAAATTTCGCTACTTTTGCTACTTTTTAGCCCAAAATTTCGCTACTTTCGGTACTTTTTAGCCCAAAATTTCGCTACTTTCGCTACTTTTTAGCCCAAAATTTCGCTACTTTTTAGCAAAAAATTTTGCTACTTTCGCTACTTTTTAGCCCAAATTTTCGCTACTTTTTAGCCCAAAATTTCGCTACTTTTGCAACTTTTTAGCCCAAAATTTTGCTACTTTCGCAACTTTTTTCGGTACTTTTTAGCCCAAAATTTCGCTACTTTCGCTACTTTTTAGCCAAAAATTTCGCTACTTTCGCTACTTTTTAGCCCAAAATTTCACTACTTTTTTCGCTACTTTCGCTACTTTTTAGCCCAAAATTTCGCTACTTTTTAGCCCAAAATTTCGCTACTTTCGTTACTTTTTCGCTACTTTTGCTACTTTTTAGCCCAAAATTTCGCTACTTTCGCTACTTTTTAGCCCAAAATTTCGCTACTTTCGCTACTTTTTAGCTTAAAATTTCGCTACTTTTAGCCCAAAATTTCGCTACTTTTTAGCCAAAAATTCGCTACTTTCGCTATTTTTTAGCCCAATATTTCGCTACTTTTAGCCCAAAATTTCGCTACTTTTTAGCCCAAAATTTTGCTACTTTCGCTACTTTTTAGCCCAAAATTTCGCTGCTTTCGCTACTTTTTAGCCCAAAATTTCGCTACTTTTGCTACTTTTTAGCCCAAAATTTCGCTACTTTTTTGCTACTTTCGGTACTTTTTAGCCCAAAATTTCGCTACTTTTTTAGCTCTTTTTGCTACTTTTTAGCCCAAAATTTCGCTACTTTTTGCCCAAAATTGGGCTACTTTTGCTACTTTTTTAGCTCAAAATTGGGCTACTTTCGCTACTTTTTAGCCCAAAATTGGGCTACTTTCGCTACTTTTTAGCCCAAAATTTCGCTACTTTTGCTTCTTTTGCTTTTTCGCACGTTTTTTGGCCGCTAGCGGCGAAATTCGCACGTTTTTTGGCCGCTAGCAGCGAAATTCGCACGATTTTTGGCCGCTAGGGGCGAAAATCGTCGATTTTTGGCCGCTAGCGGCAAAAATAGCACGATTTTTGGCCGCTAGCGGCAAAAATAGCACGATTTTTGGCCGCTAGCGGCAAAAATAGCACGATTTTTGGCCGCTAGCGGGAAAAATTGCGCGGTTTTTGGCCGCTAGCGGCGAAAATCGGTCGATTTTTGGCAGGTAGCGGCAAAAATCGCGCGTTTTTTTGCCGGTAGCGACGAAAATCGACCGATTTTTTGCCGCTAGCGGCGAAATTCGCACGATGTTTGGCCGCTAGCGGCGAAATTCGCACGATTTTTGGCCGCTAAGGGCGAAAATCGCCAGTTTTTTGCCGCTAGCGGCAAAAATAGCCCGATTTTTGGCCGCTAGCGGCAAAAATTGCGCGGTTTTTGGCCGCTAGCGGCGAAAATCGCGCGGTTTTTGGCCACTAGCGGCGAAAATCGCGCGACTTTTGCCCGCTAGCTGCGAAAATCGCACGGTTTTTGGCCGCTAGCGGCGAAATTCGCACGATTTTTGCCCGCCAGCTGCGAAAATCGCACGGTTTTTGGCCGGTATCGGCGAAAATCGCGCGATTTTGGCCGGTAGCGGCGAAATTCGCACGATTTTGGGCGGCTAGCGGCGAAATTCGCACGATTTTTGGCCGCTAGCAGCGAAATTCGCACGATTTTTGGCCGCTAGGGGTGAAAATCGTCGATTTTTGGCCGCTAGCGGCAAAAATAGCCCGATTTTTGGCCGCTAGCGGCAAAAATCGCGCGATTTTTGGCCGGTAGCGGCGAAAATCGCGCAATTTTGGCCGGTAGCGGCGAAGTTCGCACGATTTTTGGCCGCTAGCGGCGAAATTCGCACGATTTTTGGCCGGTAGCAGCGAAATTCGCACGATTTTTGGCCGCTAGGCGAAAATCGCCGATTTTTGGTCGCTAGCGGCAAAAATAGCCCGATTTTTGGCCGCTAGCGGCGAAAATTGCGCGGTTTTTGGCCGCTAGCGGCGAAAATTGCGCGGTTTTTGGCCGCTAGCGGCGAAAATCGCACGGTTTTTGGCCGGTAGCGGCGTAAATCGTGCGATTTTTGCTCGCCAGCTGCGAAAATCGCATGGTTTTTGGCCGCTAGCGGCGAAAATCGCGCGGTTTTGGCCGCTAGCGGCGAAATTCGCACGATTTTTGCCCGCCAGCTGCGAAAATCGAACGGTTTTTGGCCGCTAGCGGCGAAAATCGCGCGGTTTTTGGCCGGTAGCGGCGAAAATCGCGCTATTTTTGGCCGGTAGCGGGGAAAATCGCGATTTTTGCCCGCCAGCTGCGAAAATCGCATGGTTTTTGGCCGGTAGCGGCGAAAATCGCGCAGTTTTTGGCCGGTAGCGGCGAAAATTGCGCTATTTTTGCCCGCCAGCTGGAAATATCGCATGGTTTTTGGCCGCTAGCGGCAAAAGTCGCGCGGTTTTTGGCCGGTAGCGGCAAAAATCGCGCTATTTTTGCCCGCCAGCTGCGAAAATCGCATGGTTTTTGCGCAAAATAGCGCGGTTTTCGGCCGTTAGCGGCAAAAATCGCCCGATTTTTGGCCACTAGCGGCGAAAATCGCACGGTTTTCGGCGGATAGCGGCGAAAATCGCGCTATTTTTGGCCGGAAGCGGCGAAAACCGCTATTTTTGCCTGCCAGCTGGAAATATCGCATGGTTTTTGGCCGCTAGCGGCAAAA